GACTTACAACCAAATGCAGCTATTAATAGATGGATTCAAGGAATCTTGCTCTTTGATTTCACACTGGTCCATGTTCCAGCAGAAAGGTTCAAGGCGGAGGATGCCCTATCAAGAAGAAGGTTAGGAGAAGATGAAGAAGCAGAATTCGACGATGATAGCTGGTTAGAGTCTATTACTTATCATGTCGGCGGAGTAGGGAAAGAATACCCAACAGGAGCCATTCAAAAGACAAGAAGCTATCAAGTAGAAGACCTTCCATCTACATTTGCAGCAGCTATCTCTCAGGAAAAGAATCTACAGGACATATTCAAATTTCTGCAGACACTTCAATATCCGGAATATGTTAAATCCACCCAAGACGATAGGAGGTTTATACAGAAAGCTACCAAATTTTTTATTCAGAAAAGCAATATGTTCAAAAGGAATGGAGATAAGCCACCCTTAAAAGTTATCTTTGACAAAAATCAACGGTTAGATATTCTGACAAGAGCGCATGAAGGATTAGGGCACAGAGGAGAACAAGCGGTGTTTGAAACTATCCGGATCAGGTTCTTTTGGCCGCATATGTTCAATGACGTGCGTCACCATGTGCGATCTTGTCATGAATGCCAAATCAGAAGCACTAGAAGAGTTGAAGTGCCTTTGACAATATCGACACCTAGTACGGTCTGGAGTAAGATTTATGTTGACATAATGCTCATGCCGCTTGCTAAAGGATACAGATATATTGTAGCAGCCAGAGACGATTTATCTAGAGCCTCAGAAGGACGGGCCTTGCGTAGGGCAGACTCTAAGACACTGATGAAATTCTTCTGGGAACAAATCTATTGTCGTTATGGAGCAGTCGGCGAAGTCGTCACAGATAATGGATCAGAAGTCAAAGGAGCATTCAAGCTTCTTTTGGAACGAATGGGAATCCCTCAAATCACTATCTCACCCTATAACTCTAAAGCCAATGGAGTCGTTGAAAGAGGGCACTTTATTATCAGAGAATCAATTGTCAAGGCCTGCGAAGGAAACATTGCGAAGTGGCCAGAAAAGGTACAAGAAGCATTCTTCGCTGATAAGATCACAATCAGCAAAGTCACAGGATTCTCGCCATACTATCTTTTACATGGGGTTCACCCAGTTCTGCCCTTTGACTTAACAGAATCTACATTTTTGGTGAAAGGCTTCAAAAGTGGTATGTCAAGAGCAGATCTTTTAACTTTGAGGATGCGGCAAATCCAGAAGCGGCAGACAGATTTGGATAGAGCAGCAGCCCAGCTGACAAAGTTTAGGATCAGATCAAAAGAGAAGTTTGAGAAGAAGTTCCAAAAGCGGATGCAATTTGGACCATTTGATCCGGGTGACTTGGTTTTGGTGCGACACACAGAAATAGAAAAGAGTCTAGACAGGAAGGCCAAGCCAAGATACAGAGGGCCTTATCAAATAGTACGACGTAATCAAGGCGGCGCCTACATTCTTAGCGAATTAAGCGGGGAAATTATGAGGGAAAAATATGCAGCATTTAGGATTCTACCATATATTGCCAGAGATAGGAAGGCGCAAAGAATCATGCAGTCTAGATACAGAGGAGGGAGCACCGAACCTAAAGACAGCAGCTCAGAAGAGGAAGACTAAAAATAGAAAAGAAGCTGGAAGAACGGTGATAAAGAAGACGTGGATTAACATGAGCCTGATGCCAAGGAATTAAAAAAGGAAGCTCGGAAAATCAGGACACACAAGCGCACATAGGAATGAACGGAGAAAGAAACAGGGAAGTTGTAAAACAAAGTTCCTCGTTCCACTCGCCATCATCTTCACCCTCAGTAACACGTCGTCTATCTCATCTGCCATGAAACCTTTACTTAAGATTGGTCAGGGAATCAATATCTATCCCTATAGCGCTATACCGGTAACTACCGGACAGAGCTCGACGACAGGGACGATCTGTATCATGGAGCACATGGAAGGGGACCCATCAACTCTATGTTCAGCGGCGCCCACCTTAACACGTGGATTGATTAATCTGTTCAATGTGCCTGGAGGATTAAGGATAGAAAAGAAGGTATGGATTTTGGAGAAAGCAGGACTGGATGCGGTATGGGAAGGGAGGCAGTTGCTGACCAGATGTGAAGAAGAGGATGCATGGATGGAGGTGAATATTCAGCAGTATCTGGGAACAGACCCGATGGTGAGCTTGTTTAGAGGATCAGTGCGGAGCGAAGAACCAGGAAAAGTTAACTGGTGGGCAGACCATATTCTGGTGCCTAGCGTAGCAGCAGATGTTATGGGCATCCTCACTTATTCATTCAGAATGCCAGACATTACCCTATTTTTTGCTCGTCCTTACTTACAGTTTGTGCCAAGGCTTGGCGAGATAGCTGACAGCTCATTTGAGCACACTGCGTTCATTTCCAGACTTCAGCGTGACGAGAAGGAGACCAAGGAATGGCAGTATAACAGATAATCTTTCTTATTTCTCTTAAATCTCTTCTACTATAACTATGGGGAGCAGACAATTTTCATACCACTTTTGCCTTTTGTCATTTTATTATCAGTTTACTTTTACTCAGGAACTTATGAAGATACAGCTGACGGTTTCAGCATTTAGGAGCATATGTGGTGGCGACACAAGGTTGATACCGGAAAATCTAGAGCGGTCGCGGCTTTAAGGGTTCAAAAGCTTGGCTATGGACAAATTACAAGAAGGGAGCATAATCTATGGCAATATATTAAGGCTAACTAAGCGTGTCAAGTATCAACCATCATGTCGACTAACCACAGTGATCAGTTGTCGTGGTGGAATACTCTCCCTCGATCATTATTCCGCAAGCGGAGCACCATCTTTCCTCAGCCACCAGTGGACTTCCAGCCACTTATAGTTCCATCTCACCCACGGCCGGATTTGATTGATGTTGCATCAGTATTTCCTCCCCCACGCTCATTCTCATCTATTTTATCTGAACCTATACACCGTGTCGACCTCGCATTACTCGCACCATCCATCACTGTTCCAGAAACACCAGTTAATGTGCCTGGTACCATAGCAATTACCCCCGTGGAGCCTGGAATTTGGATGCCACCAATGCAGGCAGGAGGAATAATGATGGGAGTAACAGTGATTACAGAGCGAGATGGAGTATGGTTGGAGGAAGGAGTGTCGATTGACGTTATCGAAAAGAAGGAAAACGGAGTATTTGACTATCAGTCAATTGTCCTGGGGCAGAGAATCTGGAGGGATGATAGGATTGTGGTCTTTTCAGGAAAAGCAAGTGGCAAGCAGATCGTCGTTATCGCCTCTACTCATCGGATCAACTCACCCTCTCCCATGGGATACGCTCTGTATCATAACTTTGGCGAGTACATTCGTGCTCTTTTTATTGCCGATCGTGAACGGGAAGTAACATCTACTGAGGATGTGGAGGAAATCACCAGGCGGGCATTAGGAGGAGCAGGGGCTCAGATATTTCGTCGCTTTCGTCATGCCTAATCTTGTTTTACGGTATGCTCCATAAACATTCTTACAGTCTATCCTTTCTTCCCTTTTGAGTTTCTATGGACATGCCTTTGGTATCACGATTCAACAATCTTTTTAACATTCATTAGCACTTCCAAGTTTCTTTTTTTGAAATCATGGAATCACGTAGCCTAAAAAGAATATACCGTCAACCGGGGACGGTTGAATGCTAGTGCCCCGCGGATGTCGCGCTCGCACATTGTTAGGCATCAAATAGTGATGGTAGAATGGAGGGCAGAATATCTGACTAGAAGAAAGAAAAGAGAAACAACCTGGAAGGGACAGGACATTTAATTCCGATTTTCTACATATTTTTCGAGTATTTTACCACTTAAACTTGATTTCCTATCCCTTTTCATACTTATAATTCGCTTTTGGGACAGATTCCAGAGCCTAGGGTCTATTTCAGAAAGGGCTAGACCATGGCAAGACAATAAGGAATGGAAAGAAAGCAGTGGAATCTGGTAGAATAGAAGGGAGCTTTAGTAGAAGGATGGAGAATGTTTAGGAAAGGGGCAAGGTCTAGGGCATTCCAAGCTGAAAGGAGGGGAAGGTTCTGAGCAGTTCTGAAGGAAGCTGAAGGAATATTCTACCACATTCTGAGCCTTTCTTTTACTTTCCTTTCTGTTCCTCTGCTTTCCTCCTAATTCTTTTTATTTCTACAGCATTCTTTGTGACTCACAATGACTCTACTCAGCCTGTATATACTAGGAAGGAGATTCCCACTTGAAATAGTATATAAGGAGGCTGAATGTCCTGCTTCAGGCAGAGACCATCTCTCCCTCTTACTTTTACTCAGTCAGTCAGTGCCAGTCAATAAGTTCTTTGAGTGATATCAGTTGGAGATAAGCTGCAAGACTTGTAGGGATACTAGACGAACTAGTAGCTCGCCTTCAATCTGTGTAGCACCTCAGCAACTTGAATCACAAAGTTCTTAAGCCTCTCCTCTTTATTCTCAACGTTTACGGAGTATTGTCTTTGTTAGTGGTCCGGCACCACTTCAGAAATTCGCTAAATAGCTCAGGATATTCTCATCATTGCCTATAACTGTGACCAACATCTGTGTATCGTGCCAACACCAGAAGGTATCATCTAGAACAGCAATCAAACGAACACTAGGTACATCCGGAAAAACAGGAAACCCCGATCGTATCTAGGGGAGAAACCATTCCTCACCGCGACAACGCAGAGATCGTCAACCATCTAGCAGGCTGTTGGGCGAAGATCCGTAAGTGGGCAATGGCAAGGGGTTCTTGAAACGAGAGCTAACATCTGCGACAGGTTGGGGAAGCGGTGGGGCGGGTATTCGAAGGTGGAGGTGGATTAAGGAGCCTGGATGGATTGGAGACCGAGCTGGTGCAAAGTCAATGTGCGTTTTTAGAAAGAGAGTGAAATGTGCCTGTAAAAAGAGGGACCCGCCTGAGGTCCTGCAAAGACATGGTCCGCGCGCCGATGCTCGAGTATAAAAGGCACGTGCGGATGTTTTTTTCCATGCAGCATGGTGCGCACATGGTCCCCCGGTGTTCAGGCGACTCCCAGGCGCAGTCGCGCTGTTCCCTCCGTCTCTCGCAGCCGATACTCTGCTCGTCTCAAACATGCGTGCCAGGAAGGATCAATGTCCCGTCGTCCCAACACCCCTGTTGAGTGTCGCAGGTGTCGGGAGGAACGCTGTGTGTTTCTGCGACTCGTCTTCAAACAAGGTCATGCGGGAGAGTGGATCTCCATAGTGAGTATGTTCGACATCATTTTTTGTGTGTTTTCCACGATCAAATATACAGTGTCGTATTTGCGACGATCTATGGTACCCGCCTCAAGATCTACCGCCTGCCGAGCAGGTTGCGCGCATCGAAGAAATTCGTGCAGATGATGAAAGGATTTGCGGTGATGGCAAGCTAGCAAAAGTCCTCCAGAGGACATTCAATAAAGAAGTAAGTGCACATGGAGTTTCACATGCATACATTTTATTGACCGATGGTATGACTTGGAGGCGAAAATTTCGGGACGCGGAGGCGCTCGAGAAAAGACCGTGGCGCAATTCAGCCAGTCGCAAGGTACTACGATGAGCGAAGGTACTGAGGGAGGAAGTAGCCCGGTGGTAAGTGATGGACATTGTCTGAGGTTGGCACGCGCTCATCGCTTGCAGTGGGGTGGTCACACATTGACGAGTCCGGTGCCGTCGATGGATGACTTCTTCGGGGAGGGAGCGGAGGATTCACAGGACGAGGGAGGGGGGGTCTTGCACACAAACAACGGTCTCGACCGCTGGGTTCGAGTCGTTATGTGGACAGCCGTGAGTCTCACTTGCTATCGGGGCAATAGTGGTTTGCTGACATTGTTTCAGGCTAATGCTACGCCAGAAATAGTGTTGTGCAAGGCTCCATATTCGTTCTTCAAATTCACGGAGCACAGGCGCATCATGGCAGAAATGGGTTTGCGTCGGGATCAACGGTGGGACCGATGGAATGGAGAGGAGTGTAGGTGGGAGATCTGTTTGAACATTGACAAGGAGATTTGGGTGAGTGAGCGGGAACATTCTATTTTGGGCCGTCTAGCTGGGACTCCGGGGTGCGTAGGGTTGGGTGCAGAGATCCAGCGATTGGCGGATGGGATCGAGGGAGCGAAGGTGGGCGAAGACAGTCTGGTTGTGGAGCACAAAAGTGTCGGTGTACAGGCAGGAGAGGTGGGTAATAAGCGGGCTGGGAAAAAACGGGGGATTGAGGAAGTGGAGGTTATGGAAGGGTCGTCTGGATTGTCGATTGACGAGAAGGAAGTGGTCGCGGGACGGAAGGCACACGCAGCCGCAAAGGGCAAGCGCACGATCAATGTCTATCGTGCTATATCAGAGGCCCCAGTCGCTGATGAACTTGTGACACCGCATTTGATTATAGAAGACGGAAAAGAGATTTATGATCTCACATGGGAATGGTGAATGAAATGTATTTTTTTTTCATTACTAGTGTAACCGGAAAGGTATAACAGCGATAATGGAGAATAATATGTCATGTTGAAATAGTGGAATGGTTAGCGCGCCGTGCGTGAGAGGGGTTAGTCTGCGAGGCTGGGGTTCGATCCCGTATAGTAAACAATATTTTAACTTATCATATTCATGGAACATCTTGCATATGCAGGTGTACGATATAACCGGATGTTGTGCGAGAGGTATCTGGCCATTTAACCTATGAATAAGTGTCATGTTATTGGTCATGGAGGTGGTAGGGGTAGGTCATCTAATATTTACCGCAACATTGTACAAGGCGGAGTAGCTGAGTGGCTAGGGTTGATTTAGTAAAGTGGGCTCACTCTGAGTGTGCTGGGTTCGATCCTGACCACGTGTAAATCTTTTAGAGTACGACTATGACCAATCATCTGAGCCTGTCTCCGGACGGTGATATCTGGTGTTAGACATCTCGGGGCAGTGTCCCGCAGGAATATTCAGTTTATATTTGTAATTGATTGAGTAAAGTACTGAGACAACCGGATATCTCCGGCTGTAACCGGCCATCTCCGGCTGATGTGTGTACACGTCACGGTAATATCCGGGTAACTGAACACCTACTTTCTCTCGTCCTGTGTCGCGCAAGGTTTCTCTCAGATCCTTCATATATCGATTGTCGCAGCGTAGCCACTATTGCTCCTCCGGTCGATCTTCCAGGGCACGTCACTCGTCAAAGGAAATAAGATGCTTTGTAGCGGCCCCAAAGTGGTCACATTGAAGGTCACGGACTAGTGCTCTCGCACTAACCCTTGTTCATACATTCTTATGAGCACTCAGCCTCTGGCTGGACATCTTCTGGGCGGTAAATGGTAAGACGACTCTAACCGTCTTTGAAAGGTCCGTAAGCACTAACACTGATAGAACCAGGATTGACACGAAAATAGGCGTCCTTCGGTACCCTGTGAAATACTGAAACAGTGTTTCTGTTCTACGGCATCTTAGCATCATGTCGCCTTGAGTATTCTCCATTTCATCGCGATGTCAGGACAGCATTCTTTTCAACTGCGACAGGGTCGTTGCCTTCATCTTCATCCCGCATCCACTACTCGGTCAGAGCGCGGTCTGGTCGAATTTAAATGCCTATGCCATGCTATGCGGGGGGAGGAATTGGCCCAATGAGAAATATCGGCGTGTCTGTTACGTGTTTGTCCTCCAAGTGCACACTGATGAATGGATTCCATCATTGGAATGTCGACTCGCTATCCGTATTTCAGCCGGATGATCTGAGAGGTGGACTTTCAATCAGATTGGCCTTGCCTTTGAAGAGTCGACGGGGTGCACGAGTGCACGGGGATCTGTAAACATACACATGTCCCATTATCTCGCATATTTACACGGATCTTCGTCGGTCAGTCATGAACGATTCAGAATAAGAATAACAATCTCACATTCCGTCTCCCGTCGCTAAATAGCTGATCTTCTTCCTTTACCTTCAACTCGTCACTACCATCCTCGATCCACGCGATGAATACATGACGCCGTCCCATGTACTATAGTCATGTACCGCCCCTGCAGTTATTGTTTCCTTTTTACACGCTCGCAGCTGCAACGGTATCATTTGGGCGCTACGACATCGGATTAGAGTGTGGCGTGGAAAAGATTCCGTCCATCGCGGTATGAGGCTGTCCTCGAGGCATCATCACCCACCACCCTCGCTCGCCCCCCCCCCCCCCCCCCCCCCCCCCATATCTCATACGATTCGAGGGTATCATGTTCAGTTTTCGATCGCACATCGCCTCCCGCAAATACATCGATCTTATACATAGGGAAACGGCGAAATATGCTAATTGGGATCCATCAAAGAAGATCGAGGTGCCACAGTGTTCCTACTTTTCCCATATACACAGTCCAATGTTTTGATACCGTTCAGGTAGGAGATTATGGCCACATCAACCGAAAGACGGGAGAATTTGAGGTCGAAGGAAACGTATACAAGCATTCGAGCACAGCGGAGAAGGCAGCGCTGTTTCCTCCAAATATAGGGTACCCGATGCTGTCTTACACCGTGTCCTCGCATGTGGTCGCGCGTACGGGTTTTGAGGTGACCCCCCAAGTGTGAGCGCATTATATTCGGCCCTCTTTTCCGTCTTGCTTCATGTTCCACTCAAAACCAGGGGCGTCCAAGGGATCGCAGACGCCTCGATCAAAGGCGAATGGCAGTTTGGCGGCAAACGCGGTGCGCTGCTCATCATGTCGCACTCGCGCATAGAAAGTATGCCTGCGGAGCTTCTCGAATACATCACCTCTTCCCCGTTGAACGAAAAAGGCTCCCTTTTCAAAGAGAAGGGCCTTGTGACAGAGATACACACATGTCCAGCGTATAGTTTGTACATGTCTGCAGGAAGTGAGTCCGCTATTCTCTGCTTTTTGTGGGAGTCGTACAATCGTACGCTCTAGTTTCTTCATTTTACTGCCTATGGGCGTGATGATGGTGCACTGGCTGACCCAATATTTGCTTCGATCAGATAACGAGAAACTGAGACTAGCCTTCCACGTAACTACGCCGATACCGTCGGCACCCGGCGCCACAGCAGGGGGCAAAGTTGGCGGAGAATGGTGGAAAGAGTACGATGCAGGAGTATACCAAGATGCAGCCCACCCGGAGGGTAAGCACACGTTTGTGCCGCTCTTCAAACTGAAGAAGACTCCCATTCGCATACGATACCGGGACAGTCCGCCGCCTGGGGCTATGGCTGACGATGAGTGAATTCTGTTTTCTGACCCTCATCGCAAGTGCTCGATCTCTAACTTACAAACACCTTGTTTGCGACTTCTAAGGTGGATCGATTCCCCCGTGCCGTGGCACCCGCTTGATGAGGAAGGACAGGAATTCAAGGACGATGTGGGTAGACGCTGGCAGGATGAGTGCGATGAGCTAACTTCGTCATATACAGGTACCCGGTTCAGATGAGAAGCTGGTACACAATACAGATGAGAAGCGGATACAAAATACAGATGAGGAGTGAGAAATATACCCCCCCTCCCAAATCAACTGCAATTTTTGAGCTAAGTGCGCTTGTGATGCATGAACATACACCTATATACATCTGTACCGAACATAGAAAACGCGACTTGAATGGATTCCGTTGTACGCAGCTGTGCTTAGCCGATGAAGAGTCATCTTTTCCTATACACCGACCACGACAGATTGCCAATGAGTTTCTGCTGTCAAGCTCGCGGTGAGAAGGGAGGGAAACTCGACTCTAGTCAGATCGTTCTGCTTCATATCAGCGATTCCCCCCGAGCGATGCAAAACGGATCTACTCGTTGCGTTGAACCGACTGTCGGGGCGCGACGCAGGCGGTGCAGTTGGGGATACCAACCGCAAAGTGTGCCCGGAGCATCCGCTCTCCATCTCCTCAAGCCCTAACGAAAGATGGCTTCTAGGAGAGAAAGATGGACACGGTTCATCCCTTTTTCGATTGGTTTTCACGACTGCGCGTGATAGTGAGTGCATCGCATACGCGGTGCTGGCAACATATCTATCTATCCACGGTCTGCGATGCACGTTGAAGTGCCTTCTGACAGCCCATCTACATGCTCAAGAGCCAGTGACGGGGTGCCTATGTAAGGATGACGGTCGGATGTGGCAAGCAGGGATCCACATTAACGATCATTCGAGAGAAGATAGGCGGGCGCGGATCCAAGATCGACTGCTTACTGACCGGGTATTTGGGTTCGAGAGCAGGTTAGAGAGGGATGGAGGCTGTGAGTGGCTGGGACGGGGTCAGCGAAGCAAGTTCGAGGGAGCTAGAGCGGCGCAATATTTTGAGCTGCCGGCTAGTTACAATGGCGCAGCAAAAACAGGTTGGCGAGGTGAGGTGTATCTTTCCAAGTGGAAGAGTATACCAGCTGTTTGTGGACATTGACAGTGGGTTGCCTGCCGCCATTACGACATCGGTGATGTTGAACTGTGGGTCCTGGTGGAAATGTGAATGGGGCTGTACGAACAGCCCCACAGAGCCTGGTCTAAAATCCAAGAGGGGTCCGACCACTGTCCGACCCGACAGCGCTCGAAGGAAGCCAGTACGTTTATGAGGCACCGCGGGTCGGACCATCGGGAGAGGGGGGCAAGCCTGATGATGCTGACATGCCGGGACGTGATTGGCCGTCGTGGCCGGGGTGACACAGGATACGCGATGTCCTGCGCGTGTGTCCCCCGCAGGGGCACTGGCTATTGGGCAGAGGATGATGCGGGCAAAGTGCGCATCCACAGGGCGGGCGCCTGCAGGTCCTTCTGCGCTGTCGAGTCACTGCTTACCGGCACGGTGTCGGCGAGGGTGTCCGACGGCGTCTCAGCGGCACCAATGGGGAGCTGGGGTGTCTGGTGTCGTCGGCGATGGGTGAGCGACGATGTGTATTGTGGAGCGTGAAATAATGCGGGGTGGAACGCTGAGAAGAGGGGATTCCCCGCGGTGCTATTTTGTGAGCTGTGTGTTGTTCGGAGGGACGGCCGCTGTGCGGATGAGCGTGATTTGAGCCAACGATTTTCCGCTGCGCCGAGGTTGCCGAGCGGGCAAAAGGGAGCGACGCGATTGGGCGCCGAGGACGCCCGAGGAGCCAAATAAAAGGCCAAACAGAGGCGCTGGCTTCCGGTACGCCGTTTTCTTTTCTCTCTCCTCATCATCCACATCGCCGTCGTCGTCGTCCCCAGCGACGATGCTCAACCTCACCTCACGCACAGCCCATGCGTGGCGCTCTGCGCAGCGCCTCGCGGCAGGCATGGCCACTGCCGTAGAGGGCAAGATTGGCGACACAAAGGTCCCCATGTCTCTCCTCGAGAAGGGCGCCTTCATCAACTACCAGCGCATCGAGGACAACCTTGCCATCGTCCGCCAGAGGTATTTCTCTTTCTGGTCCCTACATCGTGCCCTCGCTCATTCCCTCAAGGCTGCAACGCCCCTTGACGCTCTCCGAGAAGATACTATACGGCCATCTTGACGACCCTCATAACCAGGACATCACCCGCGGTGTTAGCTACCTCAAGCTCCGCCCAGACGTAAGCGTTCACCCTTTGTGTGCTATACAGCTTTCTCATGCTCGCGAAACCTCCAGCGAGTAGCTTGCCAGGATGCGACTGCTCAGGTGCGTTATCATACGCAGATTGAACTCTGACCGGGTCTCTGACGTCACTATTCCAGATGGCCCTTCTCCAGTTCATGTCGGCTGGCATGGACACCGCTGCCGTCCCCACCACCGTCCACTGCGACCACTTGATTGAGGCGCAGATCGGCGGTGTCAAGGACTTGCAGCGTGCCAAGGAAATCAACAAGGAGGTGTACGATTTCTTGGCCACGGCTACCGCAAAAGTATGTCCCGCCGCTCCATCTTCCTCTCCCTTGCCATTCTTATCGCTCTATGTTCGTAGTACGGTCTCGGTTTCTGGAGACCCGGCTCTGGTATCATTCATCAAATTATTCTCGAAAACTACGCATTCCCTGGTGGTCTTATGATCGGTACCGACTCGCACACCCCCAACGCCGGCGGTTTGGGTATGATTGCGTGTGGTGTTGGCGGTGCCGACGCTGTTGACGTCATGGCGGATATCCCTTGGGAACTCAAGTGCCCCAAGGTTATCGGTGTTAACCTCACAGGCAAAATCAGCGGCTGGACGACTCCCAAGGGTAGGTGTCTCTCCTCTTGGCGGCGATCGGCGCTCATTCCGGAACACCAGACGTTATTCTCAAGGTGGCGGGTGTCCTCACGGTCAAGGGCGGTACTGGCGCGATTGTTGAGTACAAGGGCGCTGGTGTCGAAAGCCTCTCTTGCACTGGTATGGCTACGATCTGCAACATGGGTGCTGAGATTGGCGCGACGACTTCATTGTTCCCTTTCAACCACCGTATGACCGACTACCTCAAGGCCACCAAGCGCGCTGACATCGCTGCGTACGCGCAGCGGTTCTCGCACAACCTCCAGGCTGACAAGGACGCCGAGTACGACCAGGTGATCGACATCAACCTCTCCGAGCTCGAGCCTCACATCAACGGTCCCTTCACTCCCGATCTTGCCACCCCGATCTCCAAGTTCAAGGACGAGGTCGCGAAGAACGGCTGGCCCTCAGAGCTCAAGGTTGCCCTCATCGGCTCGTGCACCAACTCGTCGTACGAGGACATGTCCCGCTCTGCGTCGATCGCCCGCGAGGCTGCCGAACACGGTCTGGCTACCAAGTCCAAGTTCACGATCACTCCCGGTTCGGAGCAGGTCCGCGCTACCATTGAGCGCGACGGTCAGATTGAGGCGTTTGAAAAGTCCGGTGGCCTTGTCCTTGCCAACGCTTGCGGTCCCTGCATCGGTCAGTGGGACAGGAAAGACGTGAAGAAGGGCGAGAAGAACTCGAGTGAGTGACAGGTGTCTGTTACACGCAACACGTCAAGCTGACACTCCGCAGTCATCACCTCGTACAACCGTAACTTCACCGGCCGTAACGACGCGAACCCCGCCACGCACGCCTTTGTCGCCTCCCCCGACATCGTCACCGCGATGGCCTTTGCCGGCGACCTCAGCTTCAACCCGCTCACAGACTCTCTCATTGGCGCTGACGGCAAGCCCTTCAAGTTCACCGATCCCTCCGGCCACGAGCTCCCTCCGCGCGGCTACGACCCTGGCCAGGACACCTTCCAGCCTCCTCCCGCTGACCGCGCGTCCGTCCAGGTTGCCGTTGACCCCAAGAGCGACCGTCTCCAGCTCCTCTCTCCATTCAAGGCATGGGATGGCAAGACTCCCGAGAACCTCCCCGTTTTGATCAAGGTCAAGGGCAAGTGCACGACGGATCACATTTCGGCTGGTGGACCGTGGTTGAAGTACCGTGGACACCTTGAGAACATTTCCCGTGAGTCACTCGTCGCGGCGTTGTGTGGACATTAACTGATCGCTCGGGATGACAGAGAATTGTCTTATTGGTGCGATCAACGAGGAGAACGGTGAGGCCAACAAGATCAAGAACCAGATCACCGGCACCTGGGGCCCCGTCCCGACCGTCGCTGCTGAGTACCGCGAGAAGGGCATCAAGTGGGTCGTCGTCGGCGACCACAACTACGGCGAGGGCTCGTCGCGTGAGCACGCTGCACTAGAGCCGCGCTTCCTTGGCGGTCTCGCGGTCATCGTGCGCTCGTTCGCGCGCATCCACGAGACGAACTTGAAGAAGCAGGGCATGCTCGCGCTCACGTTCGCGGACCCGGCCGACTACGAAAAGGTGAAGCCGAGCGACCGCGTGGACATCCTCGGGCTCGAGAGCTTCGCGCCCGGCAAGAGCCTGACGCTGCGCTTGCGCCACGAGAACGGCAACAGCGAGGACATTGAGCTGCTGCACTCATTCAACGAGGGCCAGATCGGTTGGTTCAAGGCCGGCTCGGCGCTGAACTTGGTGAGTCTCGCCGTTTATCGGGAGTGGGCGGGGCTGACGGTTACTGTTTGATAGATGGCAGCGAAGGCAAAGGGCCAGTAAATGCACGATCCGTCTTCCTACAGAGACGGCTCGGCGCTGGCTTTCTTTCTTCCTTCCTCTCTTAGAATCGAGTGTGCCAGAACGGGCTCAGTTTCATCTCTATCATCCTACACACTCATGACCGCACGATCGCGCATTCGCAACCCTCATCCATCCTCCCTTCATCCATCCACTCACTGACTCGCGACCCTATCACCTGCATCGCATTCGATCGCATCGTAATGTACACAACAAAGACACGGACGGGTAGACGGACGGACGGACGGACGGACGGGGAATTTGATCTGAATTGACTCTGAATCGACGACAGGACGACGACGACGACGATGAAGGCGCAGCCGCCGCTGTTGGGCGCGCGCGTACACGCCAGCCAGTGTCGCTTGGCCTCTCTGAGAGACGCGTGGAAACGAAGGGCGGGCAGCCCGTGGAGGTCGCTCTTCTATTCTCTGTTCTGTCCTGTCCTGTTTTCGTCTGGTCGATCGGTTTGGATCCTGTGCTATTCTGCTCTGTCTGGTTTTCCTATCCTCTTTTATTCTTGACTCGTCTTTTTTTTTCAAACCGTCGTTCCCAAGGACCCAATCTCGTCTCTCTCGTTTGTCAGTCCATTATCAGTCAGTCAACCGGTCGGTCGGTCTTCTTGCGTTTGTGTAGAGTACTCGTATTTGTCGCTACAAGTAGTGGGTCGCGTTTGGTTATGCATTCGTGTGTGATCGATGTTTGACGGCGAGAGAAGGCAGGTGAGCGTGCGTGCGTGGGCGGTTGAATGACGAGTTGTGATTGGGTGTTATTAAATCCGCATTTAAGATTTTGGAGATGAGCCTGCGTGAACCCTTCGTGAGCGAGGCGACCAAGGTGAGAGAGATCGTTGGACCGCTCGGCTGCACATCTTGGGGTTAGGCCACGCGCTCTTCTTGTTCGTGTGTGTCTTGGGCCCGACTCAGAGTCGTGCTTGGGCCTTCGTTCTGGCCGTTAGCATGTCGCTTCGAGATGGCTCGACTAATGGCGAATGTTTGCCGCCTGTTGCTGGTCCTCGTCGAACTGGTAACCATCAGCGAAAAAGAAGAGCAGACAGCGGCTGGATGGCTGATAGTCACTCAAGGTGAGTGAGTGTTAGGGAGGGCTCGATCGACGTGGCGGCTATCTATGGGGCGGCATGCCTTCGTGCGTTTGTATTCGAGCCTCCTGGCGAGGGCTGGCGCCCGGACCTCCAAGCCGGCGACGCGGCGGCGCCAGAAGGTCGTCTTTTTTTACGTGCGTACCCTCTCTCGAGTTCGGCGCGTCGGCTTGAGGAACTGTCATGGCGCGTCTCCAGATGTGGGCCCGCGATGGCGACGTGCTGTGGGACGCCCAGATCCGCCGCGTCGTGCCAGGGGGCTTCGGCCTGTCTGTGGTCACTCGGTGGCCGGTGGCAGTGGCAGACCGCGCTTGCTCTTGGACTCTACTGGCTTGCGATTGGTTTTTACGAGGTGCGTCTGCAGTTTTGGGGCGTGGGCTGATGGTTTGGACGGGGACTGATGGATGGGTCTCGGGTGCGCGCGCGTCATTTGGTTTCGATCGTGCATGCGCGTTGCCAACAGTTACACGGCTATAACACTGCTATGGATCAATCTATGGGAAACGGGGATGGGCACGTCGAGTACCGTGTTGGAGGTGCGTGGCATCGCGGTGGCCTTGGACAGGTTTCCGAGCTGTCAGAAGTAGGAAGAGGGCCGGCTTTTGTTGAGGTTGGCGGAGGAGGAGAGTACGGAGATGAGGACATGCTTGGCGAGGGCGAGGACGGGGATTCTGAGGACGGGGATGTCGAGTGCTTCTCCGAGGCGCTGTGGCAGGACGGTGACTTCATGCAGGATCGCGAGGTGGCCTGGAAAACGGCTGGTGCTCGTGCGTTCTACCCCGCACACGACGATCACGATGGCAATTACGATGAGGACGAGAAGGACAGTCTCCCGGTGCGTCGTGGATCGACCCTTTCGTCGACCCCCGACCGCACTTTGGAAGTGCTCAACTTCGTGACGAAGTCGGTCATGGCCATCCACAGTGAACTTCCGCGGATGAGCCTCGACGACGCGCTCGCCGCGCTCCGCACTGAGCTCACGCGTATCGCCCCCCGCCATCCGCTTTACCGCTTGGTGCTCTACTTCAAGGCGCAGTATTTGTTCCAGCGCCACCAGGAGACGGGCTCCAGCATCGACGTCGACGAATCGATCGACGCCTGGAGAGAGGCACTCGCGCTCGCGTCGACGGACAGCCGGGACGACCGCTCAGATCTCTCATGGCGTCTGGCCGACGCGTTAGCCGCCCGCTTTCGGATGGCGCCGTCGCCGCCGTCGCCATTGGCGAATGCGGATCTGGACGGTGCCATCACCGCCCGGCGCGAGGCACTCGCACTCATACCCTGCTACCGCCTTGAGCGTACGGTGATCTTGTCGAGCTTCGCGCATGAGCTCATGACGCGCTTTGAGCTGAGGGGGCAGAGCGCGGATTTGGACGACGCCATCAGCGCCCGACGCGAGGCGCTCGCGGTCTGCCCGTGCGATGACCCTGGCGTGTATTTCCTCCTTGGCAAGCTGATGCAAGACCTGGCCGTGCGCCACGAGCGGACGGAGCAGCTCGCGGACGCCGAAGAAATCCTCGCAACCTGCGAGAAGAGGATCACCCTCCTGGCTCCGGACCATCCCGACCTCCAGGAGTCCCTGATGTCCTTGGTCAGGTATTCGACCAGCTGCTTTCGAGCGACCAGCCAAACCGACCACTTGCAGAAGGTCGTGCTCGCCCTGCAACGGCTGCTTGACGTGCTCCCGCCGCAGGACCCACGATGGGTCAAGTTCACGGCCGCGTTGTCCAATACCCTAGCTGCACAATTCGATCGCTCGCGCCAGATTACAGGCCTGGAGGGCGCGATTACCGCTGCGCGCAGCGTGCTAGCCGCCGTTCCGCTGGACGATGCTCTGCGATCCCATCATCTGTGCAGGCTCGGGACGCAGCTGGTCGCGCATTTCCGGTGCGTCGGCGACGCTGCGAGCCTCGATGAGGCGGTCGCTGTCTTGCGCAATGCATACGCCGTCTGTAAGACGGACCGACGGGAGATGCGCGCCTGCTTGTGCGAGCTGGCCGTCGCGCTGCAGGCGCGCTACATGTCGGCGCGCCAGTTCGCGGACCTGAACGAGATCATCATCGCCCGGCGCGATGCGCTCGCACTGTTCGAGCCCCCTCAGGAACGGGTCGAGACGTTCGAGCTCCTAGGACTCCTCACGGATGACCTGAGAGAGCGTTTCCGACAGACGGCGGCGCTCGCAGACCTGGACGAGGCGATTGAGTACTTGCGCGGCTCCCTGGCGCTTCTTGCCGACGAGCCGCTGAAGCGCCGTGCCACGTGCTTCATCGTGCTTGCCTGCGCCCTCCGCGAACGATTTGACGGAACAGGGAGTATCTTGGATCTGGAAGAGGCGATTGGCCTGCTGTTTGACGCGCTCAATACCCTTCCCGAAGACGATGACGTGAACCGATCTCAAGCCTCGACAATACTTCGCGGAGCACTGGACGCTCGATACCGCTTGCCAGGCACTTGGTAGTGGGTACCTAGAGTTCTCTGTGGTAGTGGTTGTGCCTTAGACACCCGATGACGAGGGCACGGATTCCGAGCCCGATCTGACTATATACCTGCGTGATTCATTCCCGTCCATCCATCTTGAAGGGTCGTAGCGACATCTGGTCCCCCTTGTGCCTCCACGGACAACGTGAGTCACAGGCGATTCCTAGTTCAGGGTAGATACGGTGAGCTTCAACTTGCATTATGGGAGCTGATGACCTTCTCCGTTCTTTTCTTCTTATTCCTTCAAAACGATGGGATGTACACGGAAATGTGTGTACCCTGGTCAACATTGTCAAACCATATCGATGGCCGTCCAGCACGGCCTGTTTGAAACCCAGGCTCGTGTCCCTCTCTTCCTTTGTTGTGCCTGTCCTGCATTGCCTGTTTTTGGCTGGCTCGAGGGTAATCGATAAGGGTACTGATCGATATCATAAAGCGCACGACGCCCAGAGAGGAAGAGCGAACTACTTTCAACCCCCCTCGCCCCTCTTCTCCTAGCCGCTCGATGATGCGCAAACATTCCAACTACAACGACACTTCTGTGCAGCTCGCGTTCGCAGCTGCGAACCAGCAGAGATCTTCAGCGGTAAAGAAGGAGCCTGGCCACGAGGGATCTATGAATCATGAAAGCTCTATTGGATCTGTGCTAGTGCACGCTGGGTTCGCTGAACCGCTAGGAGTAAGCCTGCCAAAGCTCGCAAACACGGTGAGCACTGATACTTCCTGTTTCTTGTCTCTGTGTTCATTGGACTCATCCTGTTTTGACTTGTTGTTGCTAACGCTGACCTGCTACGCACGTTTCAAGGCGCGTGACGACATGTCGTGATCAGCGCGTCCTGTCTTTGGTGGCTTTAAACTCACCTAGAGAAATCTACCACTTGTGGCATTGGCAACATATACGCTCAACACCATTGATATACAAAGTACGTCTGTTTTGGACGCGTCTTGACCTCAGGGGAGTTGGCTGACAGCGGCCGGAGTAGGAATATCCTTATGGAAAATCGGGCAGATGAGACACTTATCGATAATCTGTTCGAGGCTGTCTGGAAGGACGGCTACATTGAAAACATCCTGAAGGCGTCTGGCAATTGGCAGAGCCCTACCCCTATCGATAATGACGATGTAACCGACAACGTCCTCGAACATGCAGAAGTCGACCCCGGCGACACAGTACAGACAGACGGTAAGCTCGAAACCGATATCAAAAAGATCACAAATGCAAACGGCGCTTCCTTCCCTCATATAGCCGATGATGTCAACGACAGACAAGTAGCCGTCCAATACGATGAAGAGACCACTGTCGACCACGAGGGCGAAGAAGAGACCGTCGAATATGACGACGACAACGACGACGACAACGACGACAACGACAGCGATGCCGGCACAGCGCCGCCTCCAGATCGTACATTGCAACTACTCACGTTCGTCGCCAGGTCGGTCATGACCGCTCAAAGCACATTCCCGCCGATGAGCCTCGACGGCGTGCTCGCGGCTCTCCGTGCCGAGCTCGCGCGCATCGTTCCCTCTCATCCGCAGCGGTACATGCTGCTCTACTTCATGGCGCAGTGTTTGTACTGGCGTCACCAGGAGGCAGGCTTTAGCGCGGACCTTGACGAATCGATCGTCGCTTGGCGCGACGTACTTGCGCTCCCGTCGACCGCCGATCACGAGTATCGTGCAGAATTCTTGTGGCGTCTGGCCGACGCGTTGGCCGCTCGCTCTCGGACGGCGGTGGTGTCGGTAGCATCTTCGGTTGCGAATGTAGATCTGGATGATGCCATCGCCGCCCGACGGTCCGCGCTCGCACTTCTGCCCTCTGGCCACCCCCACCGCCCCGCTAACTTGGCGAATCTCGCGCACGAGCTCGTGGCGCGCGTTGGACTGACGGGACAGGGCGCGGATTTGGACGGCGCCATCGTCGCCCAGCGCGAGGCGCTCGCGGTCCTCCGATGCGACGACAACACCATGTACGTCTTGCTGAACAGATTCCTGCAGAACTTGATCATGCGACACGAGCGGACGCGGCAGCTTGCGGACGTCGAAGAGATCATCGTGACCTGCCACAGGAAAATATTTCTCCTACCTTGGGACCATCCCGATCTCCCGAGAACCTTGTCCTCCTTGGTCCAATACTCGCTTTTCCTGTTTCAAGAAACAAAGCGTACTTGTCACTTGCACGAGTTGGTCGCCGCCCTGCGACGGCTGCTCTACGTCCTCGAGCCGAAGCATCCACTATGGACCAAGACCATGGCGTCCCTGTCCAATGCCTTGGCCATTCAGTTCGAGCGCGAGCACCAGTTCGGGAATTTGGAGGAGGCGATCCGGCTAGCCCGTCGAATCCTCTCTGTCATTCCGCAGTACGATACCTTACGGTCTGATCATCTGTGCAGGCTTGGAACGCAGCTTTTGATTCGCTTCCAGCAGACATCGAGAAACGTAGACATGAATGAGGCGATATCGGTATTGCGCGATGCCCAAGCAAGGTGCGGAAACGGGCCAAACGATCCACGCATTCGCTGCCGAAGCCTAGCCATCGCGCTGGGAAAGCGCCATAAACGAACGGGCCACATCCAAGATCTCGATGAGGCAATAATCACATGGCGCACCGGGATCGCGCAGCTCGCGCACAGGAAGCGAGAAAGCGATCTCGATGCTATATTTGAGTTCGAAGGGTTCCTCGCGCTCTACCTGACCGAGCGCTTCCGACAAACGCTGGTTCTGGCGGACCTGGATGCGGCAATTGTTGGACTCGGCAGGTCGCTGACCATCCTTCCAACGAATCAATGTGGGAGACGTGCTAACCGCTTGATCACGCTGGCTTCCGCTCTTCGCACTCGATATGAAAAGACGGAGAATGTTGTAAACCTGAACGAGGCCATAGTCGTTTTGCGCAACGCCGCTGCGCTCCTTCCCCCCGGCGATCCAACCCGATCAAGGGCCTCCACAATGCTTGTGGAGTTAATGGACATTCGATTGGGCCTACCTTCGGCCGTGATGGAACCTGGATCGAGCGTCTGAGACGAGATCTGGAGACCACCGAGGGCATGGCTTTAAAAGAAATATATCAGGTCAAGGAATGGAAGAGACAAGCGAGAGCGGGTATATCTGGCGTCCTATTAAGCCTTATAGAATAACTTTAGACTTCTAATCGGACAGAGTTAAATTTAGACTAAGTAAATGTCGGAATATACTCACATTATGACAAACGGCGGGCTGTGGAAGGACGTCTCCATTTCAGTGAAGAGACGGTAAACCTGCCCCTACTCCTAGGTGAGATCACAGTTCTCGGAGAATGGGAGAGAGATAAGCGACTCAAACAGGCGCGGTGGAAAATCAGTTACACCTAACATATGATATCAAAGAGAACACGCATGAGCAGCCTGAAAGCAGCCGCAAGCTCGGTTCAGAGGTTACGCGACTTTAACATGGCCGTCCGATGAACGAGACGGTCAAAATAGATCCAAATACAAATGTGCTAAACCGGCATCAGCCTGATCCCCAAATCACTGCTTCCGCGGTTAGCGCTCCCGATTTTCTTTCTCCAGTATATTCGACACCTTACAGGCCTTACATCTCATCACGCCCATCCAACCTTCCTTGTGGCCAAGATTGTGGAGTACCTCAATACACACTTCACTGGACTTCAAAACGTGTTTGACATTGAGTCAAAATGCTTAATCCTGACCAAGAGACTGTCCTATGCGTTGCTCGTCTAGGTCTCAATGATCTGTGATACAGCTAAGAGATCAGCCTCGGAAGTGGAGCTTGGAGATCTTGATAATGGTACAGTCGGTCTGGAGAAGTTAGCATATTTGACGCAGGCGATACACATTGTACAAAACTGATACAGGCCACCATAAGCTGCGGTCAAATTCACGAACGGGTGTAACTAATCATCATGAGCCTCGCCGCCCTCGATCGAGCCCTTAATGTCTTCTTTCCTCTGCTTTCCAAGACTCGAGGCCGGGCATCTGTGAATACGATGTCAGATGACCATTGTCACAAAAAAGATGGAGACATGCTGACCGTCTCCTCCCATTCCTTTCCATCTACGTGTAGTATGTTCCAGGGTCGAGGCATGGTAATCCACCTGTCCAGATGCGGGGGTTCAAATGAAAAGTTACATCGTCAATAGACGCACCACCATGAATGTGGATCAATCTCACCTATCTTCAAGTTTTGGAATAGGGCTGTCACGATAGCGTGTGCGTATCACAGCGATGATCTTGAGATTGAAGAGCGGAACGAAGATAGGGTGTCCATCTGGGTTGAAGCCTGACTTGTGTATACCCCCGTCATGTTCCTGCCACCATCCAGTGCTGGCTTTGCCATCAACGTCTTCAGTGCGTAAACCAAGCTTGACTTTTTGATTCTCTGTGAAAGGACACATTAGTTGAGTACGGGTTTCAAGATGCCACTTACTTCCGTCGCCAAGGAAGAAGAAGTACCCGGAACACGAGTATAAACTTGTTACGACAGATTTGTCCTCAAAAATGGTGTTGCCCTCTAAATAGTCGAGCAACGACCTTGGAACGCTCGTCTTCTGCGGGCGATACATCACGAGTAGAGCATCGCGGTCACCGTGGAACTCCCATTCGCCTTTGATAGACGCCTCTGCGAGGCCAGGAACATCCCTTGTGCACAGATAAGTTCCGCTCCCTTATTCTGCGAATGCGAAGGACTCACGGATCTGATTTTGAATCTATATCGTTTCGCGTCACCTCTTTCGAGTTTGCTACGTACGAGTCCTCGGGATCCTCTACGATGCTCTGATATGATCCCTTCTGATCAGGATCAAGAAAGTCTTCGTAAACATTTCCCTCTATATCAAATACGCCCGTCTCCCGATTGACGGTTCCATAGTCTCCCACCTTGAATCAAATATCATATGGTCAACAGTGTTTGCAACTACGGGAGCGATCGAAGTCTTACTTGTATCTTCTTCAGCGGGTCCCAGTTTGAAAATTCGGCAGTTGCACGTAGGATCCGATCGATATATAAGCGAGGATCGCGGGGCAAATGCGGCGTTGAGGACTGTATGCTCATTTGGCCAGAGATGGCTGGAGTAGTGAAGGTCGCAAGGAGAGTGTTGAACATTAGGTAGCGCTATCAAACCCAAATATCATTCTGCAGTCCCACGCCACTCTCCAGCATCGATATTGCGGCCATTCCGAAAAAGGTGACCTGGCAGCAATACATGAGTGCAACAATGGACCACATTTGCTGCAAAGTTACCCCCTTCGGTGGTTTATATACCTCAGACAATCTCCAAGACGACACTCTAGAGATCGATACGGAAGATTCGATCGGTGGGATACCCGGAAAATATGATTGATTGCGATGCGCATCTAACAGAGTAACACGGGTCTGCGAACTTCGGCCATGAGCAACCATCTTTGCCATGAGATTTCTAGTGTAGGATGGACAGAGGGCACAGAAACATGTTGTTTGAGGATAGCTGAAAGAGAGAACCAGTCAGCGATTGAAAAACACAAGATGTTCGTACAGACCTTGTGCACAAAATCCTCAGACAGCTCGAGACTAACCTTTTGTTAGCAAAAATCAGGAATTCTTGTTGGTGGTGGGTCCATAAAAGATGTCAAAAAGTGCTGTGGATTCGTGAAGAGGTGCATGCCATGGCAGAAGCAGCAAACAACTAAGAGGCAGGCCCTGCGAGGATTGTCATAAAATTGAAAGACGGCTCCGGGACCGACCCATGCCGAACGTGTCGGCCCTGCGCTCAGATCGTCACTCTCCGACGCTAGGTATGTATCCTCTTCTCAAGGCACCATCATTCGACGGAATAGCAAGCATATTCACAGGTGCAAAAATCGCACGCTGAACGACAACAATCATTGACGACAATACGTGCGACACGCCTACTTCGCTGTTTCGAGCTTCCGCACTCGATACTCCGTCTCCAGCATCCCCATCCATATGATGTCAACCCATTTTCCTTCATCCAACAGTGCCTCTCGTTTTGCGCCCTCGCAAACGAAACCTCTATCAAAATGGTACAATTATCATCGATGATGAGTCTAACAAGGCATCAAGGAGGCCCACATTTTGTCATAGAGTGCGATTGCCCGCTTGTTCGACTGGGGCACACCCAGCGACAAGCGACGAAGGCCCATTCCTTCAAAAGCATACCCGACTGGCCATTGCATTATCTCTGTCCCATACCCATTCCCCACCATTCTTTCCCGATACAAATCCCCAGCTCTGCGTCGCAGTTCTTCGGCACGTTCACTTTCAACGCCGTTATCCCCATAAATTTTTCGGTCTCCTTGTGCACGATCGTGACATACAACGGCAGCTTTATCCACATCTCGATGAGCTGGCGCTGTCCGGGCACAACATAGTCAATGGTCATTGCCTTGAGCACATCATAGTCCTCAAGGAGATTGAGGAGAGCTATGTCTGACTCGCGATATGCGCGCAGGACTAGTCGTTTCGTTTCAAATATGATAGCTAGTTGCAGCGAGGGATGCGGGCTTGATACCAATGGATAGGTGGGCAGCTGGTGCGCAGCGTAGCCGCTGGGGAGGGGAGGAGGGGTTGGATCGACGCAGAACGGTCTGACTCATGACCCTTGATGGCTTGATGGTCAGCAACTATGAACTGCCATCATTTCACTCGGTATGATGCCGCAGAATGCCCGAACATTTACAGCTCGAGGATCTTCTGATCAGAAAAACGAAGGAAAGAGTGTCGCGTGAGTCATCATTAGCGATCTCCTGGTGCTGCATAGTCACCGCACGCCTTTTTTCCTGTTTTGAAAAGGGCGCCCCGTTCTTCTACCGAGGTTTAGAATCTCCAGGCCGCTTCATATATCACCTCGAACCGTCCTTCTCTTCTGATGTTGACTAGGCTGACCCCTGTACGACTATGCACCGCATCTAGAGTTGCTACGAGACTGTTATGTCCTATATGAAAAAAAAAATCACCACCAGGGATCTCTGTATCATGTCCGTACGAAGCGCCATGAAAGACGCGTCCACTATGTCCCCATTATGATCCCCACCTTGGAGAAGCTCACGGAGTCGACGAAAACAACATTCGACTTCACCTGTGACACTTCGTCAGCGTCCTCGGCATGCTTCAGACAATGTTCGAGAATAGACGTGCTGGATATCTACTCGTCATCCTAAGTGCTATATCTGTGGCTCTCACATCCTCGCTCCTTGCCTTGGTGCAGACCATCGATCTTGCGGTACCTGGAGCCGAACGCAAAGACGGACGTGCATATTGTGAGCCTGCGGTAGTAGACCTCACTCGGCTATGATGTCTTACTCACTGCCTTTGGTCCGCAGCGTTCGAAGGTGAAGACTTTCCATATTCTCTTCCTATGAAGCGCAGTAGTCTCGTAGAGATAATGGTCAAAGAGAGTGCCCACTACTCTCTGACCAAGCCCGAGGCCAGAGATGAATGGTCATACAACTCACCTGCCGGGACCGGTCTTGTTCGGGTCAGTCCTGACCACCGCACCCTCGTCATCTCGATGTTTCACCAACTCTACTACCTTCGTAATTTTCATGAAGCATTGATCAGCAGCACTGGCGAAGGTCCAAGGCGGCATGTCCAGCATTGTCTTAGTCTTCTCAGACAAGAAGCCTTGTGCCAAGCCGACTTGGCCCTCGAACCGGGGGATTTCATGTCGCGCAACTTCGAGGAGGATCGTTTTGGTGCCACGCACATCTGTCGTGACTAGGCTGCTATGGATATGTCGAATCAGAGGCTGAGTGGACAGAGTACAGGAAGTGCAAGAAGTCCAGCTATAACGGTGAGGCATTTGTTCATACTATCTGTATCAGCTTCCTTACGTTCGACATTGGCAACTCTGCCAGTCGTCTTTCAAGTTTCCATGAGCACTTATGCACTTATGTGACGCATTAATGATTACTCCTGTGTTGTGATCTCGTGTGTCTATTCATTTCTAAGACGAGCTGGTCTCGCGATTCGCTTAGGCGCTGCCTTGAGAGGTAATACGTTGTGTCATCGCGTTTGGCCTCCATTTTGCGCACTGTTCGTACTTGGTACTCCGTCTCATTCCCATCCATATGATGTCCAGCCATTTTCCCTCAACCCATAAAGCCTCTCGCTTCTCTCTCTCGCAGATAAACCCACTGGTGAAATGCACAAGTCCTGAATTCTGTCGAATTAGAAGGAGATACAAACGACGTTCACACTTTGTTGTATAACTCTATTGTCCGTTCAACGACCTCAAATACTCCCAACGACAAACAAGAGACCCAGTTTCTCGAAGGCATAGCTGACAAGCCACTCCACGATCCGTTCCCCACCATTCTTGATCCTTAGTTCTGCGTCGCGGTTCTTCGGCGCGTCGCTTTGCATCGGCGCCGCCATCCCCATAAACTTCCCAGTCTCCTTGTGCACGATCTGAAACCGTGCGGTGGCTCCTTGTTTCTCATGGAAGCCATGTGGAGACCTACAGACGGAATAACATTTTACTGAGGCGCCTACTACAACCTTCTACCCGCCGAGCACTCAAATATTTGATGTTCTCATACTGTATCATGTTCTGGACATCAAGCGAGATCGTCAGATGGATGCAACGATATTTCCGCGTATTCTTTTGATGAGCGAAGGTCCGTAATATCGCAGAACGATTTCCACTCGAGAAGGAACGCCGTCTTATACACCGCCGTTGTCAAAAACTGTTAGACGGGATTTGCCGGCTCACCACGGCCCGTCCATTGACTCCGACTGCTCTCTTCGTTGCTCTCACTGAGCTTTGATGACTTCGGACAACTCTTGTCTTTTGTGCTGCAGACGTTGTCGTTCTCATGCGATCAGCCCGCCTGCCTCAGAATCTGTTAACCAAGATCCATATGCACTCCCCAGTCTCCTCCCCATTGGCACTATTCAAGTAGCCGTCTCTTGCCCGGATTTTCCATCATGTGCGCACGCTCACTGCTCCGATGGATGGCATGCGTTCAATAAAGAAGATTTATCACCATTTCTTGCATCTGAGAAAACTGGACCACTTTGTCATCAACTTGACTTTCTAATCAAGTACAAATTTCTTTTCGTTTCTTATATGGTCAACGAAGATGCAACAGCCTTATATCTACGCCTATACATCATTCCCTACGATCTCCCGAACGTCCAAGGAAAGCTTAGGACTCGCGACGAAGCTCTTATTCTCAAACCTGCTAGGGAATACATGAAGTCGGTGCTTCCGCTTGTTATACAGCATCGAGGGTCATGGTTCGCGGACAGTGCAGCCACGTCCGAATCACCTAGACGGATTTACAAGCACAAGGATCCCGTAAATGTGCACATTTTATTACCACGCTGCTATCTCATATTACCACTTTGTATTCAGGACAGCCGCACGCTGCCTCAAATTTATGGAGGTCTTCCGTCTCCTCAAGTCTATGGTATGCCGTTCCATGAGACGAACACAATCTCGGATCATATTCTCTCCGGGAAACCCATCGACGGTATGAAGAGTTGTCTTTATCCGTACCAACGCGCGTCGGTGGCGGAAATGCTCCAGAGAGAACTTTGTCCTGGGTTCAACACGGATCCCACATATCTTCGCATGGTTGGGATCAACGAAACGGGTTTCTACCTCCAGCCAGACACGATGGAGGTGCTTAGAGGCTGTCCGCTCGTGGATCAGATTCGTGGTGGTATTCTCTGTGAAGAGTTAGGTATTGTATACTTGATGCTCTCCCACACCGTCTTCCATCATCGGTCGATCAAACTATCTCACTGTTGTATCCTAGGAACCGGTAAAACAGTAATGACTCTGGCGCTCATTGTTGCCACGATAGGCCAACTATCGCAACCTGAGGAGTCATTCCACGATGCCCGGCCTGTGCTCACACCACTAGCTTTCCGCAGCTTCCCTACTAATCCGTTTGTCACTGCTCGTAAAAGAATTCCACGTTGTAAAGAACCAGATTTCTCCATCCCATCCCTCGTCGAACTGCTTATACACTATATCCGTGTTGTCCCCGACAAAGTCGATCTTCACAAACATGAGCAGTGGCTCAAGGATCGACACCTTTGGCATCTTCAAGAGCTCAATGCTCCATTCTATTTCCATTACGACGACAAGGGGGGGTCTCTAGCCCCGCATTCCACAAGACGTCATCGTGGCGAGGTGATGCCGCCGCGTACTGTGTTCTTGACCTCAGCTTCTTTGGTCGTTGTGCCCCCTAATTTGCTTTCTCAGTGGATCTCAGAAATATATAAACACTGCCATTCTTCAGTCCGGGTGCTCGTGATCAAACCTGGAAATGAGTTTCCGAGCGCACGAATACTGACCACCCAATACGACGTACGTCTTGCCACCATGTTAATCGATCATTTCATAGCTCATGACAGAGCAGATCATCTTATTGGATCATGACAGTCAGTGTTGTCTACTGCTTTTTGACGTCATGCTTCTCTACTAATAATACACTTCATAAGCCCTAGCAAAAGAGGAGTCCAGATCCAAAATAGAGTCCCTCCACACATGGGTGGTATGCGCTTGTCCCGTCTCCGGCAGCACTCGAATTCCCAACTGTACCTGTAATTCTTTTCCCCAAGTCTCCCCCCTTTTTCAGATTCGGTGGAAAAGATTGGTCGTCGACGAAGGTCACGTCCACGGTGCGAAGAATACAAGACTGGGCGAGGTCGCAAGTCTACTCAGTGTCGAAAGGCGTTGGCTCGTCACTGGCACTCCCACTACGGATCTGCTTGGGTTAAGCTTTGGCTCGCAAAGCTTTGAGGCAGATAACGAACAATTGGGCCTACAATACCCTTCAGATGATGGGGAAGATCCCAGGCTATCAGAAGAGGTTCCTGCCTCAAGTGTTTCTCAAGATGATCTTGGACTACGTCATTTAGATGAAAATCAATGTAAGCCTCGAATGTGGACCTCTAGCGATCGAAGCAATTTGCGTAGGCTCGACAATATGATCTCTAAATTCCTCCAAGTCCCGCGTTTTGCTGCAGCACATGACCTGTTCAATAGCCAGGTTGTAAATCCGCTCTTCAAGAAGGGCGGACCAGCCTTCGGTTCAATCCAGGTTCTCACACAGGTAATGGCAAGCGTCATGGTCCGTCATCGGTATGTTGATTAGGTGCTGTTGAAGGTCCAAGTCTAATTCTGTTTATTAAATAGGATCGAAGATGTGGAGAAGGATATCGTTCTTCCGCCGCTGAAGCAGGAGACAGTCCTTCTACATCTAGATCCAATTGCAGCTCGGTCATACAATGCACTGCAGGCCGGGATTGCTGTCAACGCGATTGATTCAGAACGGAAAGATCTGGTGCGGCTTCTGCTAAGAACTGACTTACACACACACACACTCACTGATCTGTGGCCTTAGGACTACCTTTTCCATCCATCAGTGAGATCGTTCTAACAAATTTGCCCCTCCAATGACGATATTCAATCTTGGCTTGCATATAGAATTCTGCCAGACTGGCTCAGTTGACTGAGAACATCTCGCAGTAAGCATTGTCGTTTCCTTGATTGATAGCATGAATTTCAAACGCATTGTGTAGACTTATGTTCTGGCATATCGATGAAGATGCTTACAACATTGACGAACTGGCGAACAACGTTGATAAGATGGTACAAACTGCGATTGAACGAGATTCGTCTCCCGAAGACCTGGAGATGATCAGACAGTCAGCCAAGCATGTGTACGCATACTTCAATCCTTCTCATGGAAGGAACGGTTGACGGCAGACGATTTTCCTAGTCAGCTAGCTGCTCGAGATGGTCCATGGCGTACCCTCCAGACTTCCCCTTGTCCCGAGATGCCCTACCGCATCGTGAATATGCCTGAAGCTATCTTTGTCGCCAGCAATCAATTGCGAGCAATATCCTACCTTCCCGACGGCTCATTGCCGAATTTCAGATTTATGTTCTGCCTGAGATTGCTTCAATTACGAGCGCTTGTCGATAATCGACCGTCGGCGTCAGAGCGGCGGCTTGTCAAATATGGACAGGCACTCACCGAGCAGGACATGAAACGTGATGCACTATACCTCGAGGAGAAGCGCAGGAAGAGCGCGAAGAAGAACTCCAAATCGCTAGGGAAGAAGATAGAGCACGATTCCCGCGAGACTAACAAGGCTGTAGAGGCCGCACGGCGACTCGAGGCGCCAGAGAAAATCGAGGAGATGCAGAAAGAGCTGAATCTGGCCCATATCCGGCTGGTCAATGGTCAAGGTGCAACACCGAATCCAGCGATACCCCTACAGAATGATGAGGTCTTGGATGATGAGGTCTTGGCGTCATTGAGAGAGTCTCCTCTGACTGGGGTTCGGATCCTCAACTCGACGTCTACGAAGCTAGACTACATTTTGAATGAAGTAAGCTCGGTGTTCTCATCCCTCTTCCAGTTTGATCGCTGATGTGTGTTCCAGGTTTTGAGATACTCCAGGGATGAGAAGTTTCTCATCTTCTCAAAATCCCCCCTGACCCTTGCGCATGTAGCGGATGGGCTCGATCTGATTGGAGTCAAGTACTTGCAATATACGACCAGGGTGGATCGCAAAGTTCGCGAGCAGTTTGTGATGACATTTGAGACGTCAGATACGTTCCGCGTGTTTTTGATGGAGCTCAAGCATGGATCACGCGGCCTGTAAGCATGTTCATCGAAACGGATTTTTGAGCGTTCTTCAAGCAAATGAGTATTGACACTGATCATTCTCTTCGTTGTTAGAAATCTTATAGCTGCATCTCGCGTCATATTCTGTGAGCCAGTATGGAGAGCTGACATTGAAGTTCAGGCAATCAAGGTGCGACGGTTTCAACCTTTCGGTTCTATGAGATTCTCGTGCTGATAACATGCCAAATTGTGACTTGACTTAGCGAGCTCACCGCATAGGCCAGACACGGAAGATCACTGGTGAGTGAGGGAATGAATGCCTTCTTCAGGACAGATTGCCTTATATCCGGATTGCGTACACAGTGAAGACCTTAGCAATCGAGAACACAGCGGAAGAGGTCGTGATGGCCCGAAAAGCGGAGTTGAAAGGGAACTTGCAGAAACAGACGAGCATGACAGATGACCTGCGCATCCGGCAGTTCATCGCCGTAAGTGAAACCGTCCATAACAGATCGGACAACGAGCTCACTGCTCCTGTATAGAATCCAAGGTTCATTGAAGTCAACGAATCCACCATAAAACGGAAGTTTCTCAATGTGCCCTTGCTCCGGATACCATCCGCACCTGTGCAGGACCTGGAAGCGAACGACAGACATGCCTCGTTGACGAGGAACGAGATACAGGACCCAAACGATGTGGATGTGGGCAGCCCCTTCAAGAAGCGGAGACTGGTCCGTTTTGCAGACGAAATTAAATCTTTTCACTGATCAGTCAATCGACTGTCTCTCCATTCCTACTCGTATTACACTTTATTTTCAGTGTAGAACAATGTCTGCACGTCTGTTTGGCATTTTCAACCGCGATGTAAGCCGAGGTATCCTCGGTGCTAGACGCGCGGAGCATTGCTCTGCATGATGCTCAATGCTCTTCTGTTCGAGGCTTAGCGGAGATGACCCACCTTCTGCGTGCTGAACAAAGGTGTTCGCATCTGAGAACCGCGATATACTGCCCCTTCGGTGTCGTCATCCGACGCGCTGTCCGGAATGCAACATGTATGAATGCACGCATACACAGCACATGTCACCGAAAACGGCACACCATACGTCGTGCAGTATAGCTTGTCTGTGCACTCTTGGAGATAATATCAGCCGCCTCTAATAACACGATTATAGACATGGAAGTATTGAAGCTAGCCCTTTGACCACTGCATGGAATTTGAGCAACCGCGGCCCCGCGCAGCGACAGAACACTCCTATTAGAGCACTATACATGCTTCCTTGTCACATAGCGTCGGATGCACATGTCCCTGAGGGTCGATTGGTCGTACACCCTTGACCCACGAGGAGGCCCTGCCTCGTTTTAGTCAGTAGAATCGGCGTACCAGGCTCCAGCCCACACACAAGTCTCCGATGACTTACCGCCTGCCACCCTACGATCAAAGCCGTGGGCACACTTTAGGAGTCAACGGAATCTCATACGGGCTCGAGCTTCCGATCTATCGCTGTATAAAAGGCGGAGCAAGCTACTCAAGAAGCCCCAGAATCCTCAGGCCTTCTCGAATCTCTTCAAGCCTGTCTCTTGTGTGAGACCCTTCAATCTATCCATCATGAAGTTCTCAACTGTCTGCGTCCTCACTATGTTCCTCTCTCTCGCCGCCGCGGCACCCCTCGATGTGTACGTCCCTCCTGTGCTTGATCCCCATGAAGGAACGGTGTGGACGATTGGCAACGAGTACAACGTTACATGGTGTGTTCGCTGGTCAGGTATCCGGCTCTAGCGTTGATACGAGAACGTGTAGGGATGCTTCGAGCCCGCCACCTCAAATAACGAACCGTATTGGAAGAGTTTTGTTGAGAAAGGGACCTCTGTCATTGAATAGTACGCCTCGTGTGTTTTGGGTACTCTTCGATTGCCTGACATCGACGCGCTCTGTGTCAGTCACGTTGGCATCCGGATTTGACATTCTAGACGGGACAGTCCCCATCACCGTCCCCGACGTCGAGCCTGGTGACGATTACGCTGTAGTCCGTGAGTGTAACGTGCCGATATTGATGACTCTCGGCCTCACTTACATTTTTTGTTGTCTAGTCTTCGGCGACTCAGGAAACTTCAGCCCTGGATTCACCATTACGAACTAGATGATGGAGAATGTCATTGTCAAGGTTGAAGCGACAGGACAAGGAATGGATAATGAGAACGGATGCTCACTGCGCAAATTGATTTCCATAAATCGCAATCGATATACAACTATGTATGATATTTGTTGACATTTGCACCGAAAGAAATCAAGATGTGAGAACGCTTTTGAAATGAACGAAATACAGCAGATTTGACACTCTCCCGCGACGCAAATGAAGGAGGCAAGCAAAGGCTAAAAAGTCAGAGGTCTGTCAGACTATCAGAGGATATAGTGAAGTCACCTGACCGCGACAACGAACTGCGAGGTGCGCGCCCTTTTACCTCTCGTTTCCTTACCCTTTGTTCGCGGACGCCACCTCTATCGTACAACTACAAACACATAGCCTGAACTCATTTCTTGTACCATCCAGTGTGCCCATCTGCCCATATACACTGTTCTGTTACTTTGACATCCAAATAGCGGCGCGGCTTCCGCGTCTAGATCCTGATTTCGGGCCATGTCGTTTCTTCCGATCCTCACACCAGCAGACATATACCAAGCGGCACAGGTAAGTGTATCTGTATTCTACTGTCCCCGTTTGCTTAGTTGAAACAACTTATGATCCTCGGTGAAACAGCTTATCCAACAATCATACGCACCGGGTGCACATGCGCGCACGCCTGAAGACCAACGCCGCTTGCAGCAGGAATTGTTCAATTTGCAGAAAAAATGGGAAGCCTGGGGTCTCATCGTGCCATTTATTGAGCATGACGACCACAATGTACAGTTCTTTGGTGCACACACGGCGCAGGTGAAGATAACGCGAGACTGGTGAGTTTGTCACGTACAATGCTTTGAACAAACATGCGATTGTCGTGTAAAGTGGTTTCTTACACCACAAATACCTTTCCACCACAAGGGTGCTGTGTGCGCCTAGATCTACGTACCTCGCTTCTCACTTATGACATCCTCTTCACAGGGAAAGTTTTCCTAAAGAACACGCTGTCGATCTGAAAGATCTTATTCTCGACATCACCGGAGCCTCTATTCTAGCGGGTCGCAGCAATGTCACTCTCCGAAAACTCTTCGTCTCCGTGCGTCCTCTCCCCTCTCACCGGACGGACATCACGCAATCGCTTAATGATGTTCTGGTCAGCTCTGTTCTCTTGCAATGAAACTCGCTCGTGGTGAATCTAGTCTTTGGCCTGATTGGATTCTCTCAACCGTAACAAATTTTTCGAGTCGTGGTGCTCCGACGGAGATCATCATGGATTTCCTAACGATTGTTGCAGAGGAAGTCATGGCTGTCGATCCGTTGTCACCAAACAAGTAAGGTTTATCACCATTACAATGTTCTTGCGACTGAATATGTCACCCACGAAGGCGGTATATGCAACAGACCCTGAAACAAGCAATCCCTCTTGTTGTGCAAGCAATCGATGCTGCTCTCGCTTCCCTGGATGCTTCCACGACAAAACGTTTTGAATCAGCCATGAAGTGCTTCGAGGCGTGGATCACCGATCTCCCTGCCAAGTCAGTGCGCGTCTCGCATTGCGTATCTAAACATAAACATAGTTCACGTCGTCTCGCAGCGACTTGACGACACTCATTCCACCCCTCTTTGGCGCGTTGAACCCCGCATCCCCATCACATTTTATTCCTGCCACAACAGTCTTCCTCACGATACTTTCCTCGTCTTCGTTCGCCTCCAGAGCACCGCCGCGCACGCTTACGGAGCCCTTGCTCCTTTGGCTAGCCCAATGGGGTACTCCAATTATTGGGGAGGTGATAAAAGAAGGCGCTGTGGACGAGGTCGGTAACACGCTATGCAAGTTGCTTGCCGGCATTGGCGACCATGCGACAGACTATTTGGCCGAGAATATCGCCTCTAACGACAAAATTGAACCGGCGTTCGTACCGGTCTCCGTCTCCATCAGCCCTAGTGAAATGCCTACACGAGGACAGCTCGTGCAGATATTCCTGCGACTCCTGCTTTCGTTCACAGCACTGCCGGGATACTACGGTGTCGACGAGGATGAGAGCGAGATGACGCTTGGATTCTGGTATCTATTTCAGGAGGCCTTGTGGAATGTCGATGCTCCTGCAAGTGAAGATGGTAACGGAGTGGATGAGACCAGAGAGAAGGATATGTGGGCCGTTGCGCGAGCGGTATATGCAGAGCTAGTATCAGCTCTTCGGCGGAAAGTAAAGTGGCCGGGTCCCAGGAACAGATGGGCCAAAGGTGGGCAGGCTGATGGATTATGGACCTCAGTTGCGAGCTAATCACCTGTTTATGTAGATCAGGTCGACAAGTTCAAGGTGTTAGTTTGCTCACATCTCCGTCATGTCGCTATCGCCAATATGTCTTCTTGATGCGTGCAGATACCGACGGGACGTCGGGGATACCTTGATCAACGCGTGGGCATGAACATTCTCTTTTGCTTCTGCCCGCCATAACTTTTGTTCTCTGAGCATAGATATTATATCCTCCGTGATGACATGCTTGCGTATTATATTGGTGACCTTGTGGATCGCTTTGCGAAGGGCGAAGAACAGAATGAGTGGGAGGTAAGCAAGCGTTCTTCTTTTGACCTTCGAACCCCTAGCAATAATATATCCCGTAGGAAATTGAAGCAACGCTGCATTGCATTATGTCAATCCAGGAACCTGTCCCGGAAGAGTCCAGCGAGCAGCTATCGCGCCTCTTCAGCACGGAGATAATTGGGCGACTGCCAACAACTGGCCAACACCGCGTGCGACAAACAGCCCTCAGCCTGATAGGTGAGGATTTGTCACCTCCATCCGTATCGTTCTAATGATCGTCTGTAGGCTCATACTCGTCATGGTTTACGTCCCTGTCATCATCTTCAAACGTTCTCATGGGGGCCATTGCTTACGTCGCGGCAGCCCTCCACGAACCTTCTTTGTGCCTGTCTGCTGCAAACTCGCTACGAGATCTCTGTGATGCCAATCGCGTCGCGTTGGCTCCCCATATTGCAGCATTTGGGGAGTTGCACACTGGACTTGTCGATATGCCGGATACCGAGAATGCAATGATCCTGCAGTCGATCGCGAGCGTGATTCAAGCCTTACCAGCTGCGGAAGAGATTTCCCCCGTTGAGGTCTCCGTAGTTTGCCCTACTGCGGTCTCTGTGCCCCAACTCATCGTCGTAATCTAGGCTATTGTGACACCCGTTGTGGGCAAGCTGGTACAGGCGCTCCATAGTGCATCTCAGGTACCGTCGTACTGCATCATGATCCTCAGTTCTGCTTACTTACTCTCATCAGCTCCCGGAAGAGGCTCGCGTGATAACGATCCAACAACTGCAAACACTCACCAGTGTGGCCAAAGGCCTGACGCGTAATGGTAGTCCAATATTAGCAGACGATGCAAACCCAGAGGTGGAGGAGCAGATGCAGCATGCCAGAGACGACCCGCGAGCATTGAGACTACGTGATGATATGATGAATGCTATTCGTGCTGCAGTTGAATTGTGGTCCTCTGACGCCGGTGTGAGCGATGTGCGTAAAAACTGTTTCCTCTTCTTGTTGTACTCCTAACCACAACGCTATGATTACGCTATGCAGGCACTAAGCAACTTCTTCAAGTCCGTCACCGCGCTCCCCGCTGATGAAACTCTCATATCCCTCTCGCCTGCCCCCGTTTTGGAAGTTGTGTGTCGTGCCGCACAGCGTCAATTCACGGCCGTGTGGCTTAGCCTTGCCCGTATGCTCATCAGCCAAATTAACCGACCACCGCTGCGTCCGTCACCACTACGTGTCGTGCCAAGCCCCGAAGCCCTTGCGATTGTTAGAGATGTAGTCAACGTCATGTTACAGGCCGGACTGACTTTCCTCAGCGTACCGGGTGCCATGGAGGCGGTAAGTCCTTGCCTTGCTTCCAAGGTACTCGAACCTGAAGGCTTGTTACAGAATCCTGATATCGTGCAAGAGTTCTTTGACTTTATGGAGAAGTGTGCGCAACATTTTGTTTCGGTCCTCTACCAATTACCACCGGGATCGTTCGATGCCCTCATTACGTGTGCCGTCACCGCGCTCTCCCTGCAAGAACGATATTCCCTTGTCTCCGCTTCTAAATTTCTCGTACGTGGCTCGATGTTGATGATCACGCATACCATTCTCATCCTCCCGTTCTCTGCAGAGCACATTAATCACTCGCACCCACGCCAATGATGATTTGATGGATGCCAAAGCCACGATTGCACATCATGGCTTTGGAATCATGCGTGGTGTGCTCATTGGTTTTGCAGGCATTGCACCACGATCAGCTGCGCCGAATCTCATCGACGTGCTGTCCACTCTTATCATGAAATATCCTGCGGAGAGCAAGGATTGGATGACTCAAGTACTATTTGCAGTATGTTTCTTCTCCACTCTTTCCAGTGATTCAACGATACAAAATGGAATTACAGGACGATTTCATCCAGTCCAAGGCAGGCCTAGAGGCAAAGGATAAATTTGTCCGGGCTGTGTTCGGGTGAGTGTCTACGTGTCGGGGCGACAAATTGCAGGATTTGACACTTTCATGTGCAGTAGCGCGCGCTCATTCAAGAGGACCCGCGATGCCGCACAGCAGTTCACGCTCGTGGCAAGAGGTCTAGATGAATCTAGCTTCGGGTATGCATCCTCAATGATGTAGCTAGTCTCTGACAACCTTTCGGACATCTGTATCACATAATTGGAAACCATGTATCGCTACGTCTCCTCTCCTCCAAGAGAAGTTGGAAAACGGTTGAGAAAAAGTCGCAGACTCCTTCCTTCATTCAGCAATTGCCGTGGCCACTTTCCTTCCACCGCGCCGCGCTGTTCATTCTCGACTGCCCTAGTGCTCTCGATGGTGGTCGGCATAATTCCTGAAAATATTCGCCGACGTCCAGTGCCACTCCCCCTTCGCATCTCTCCGACCGCCTACCGCCAATTTTTCTCGAGACCAAGCCTCATTTTATCATATGCGATGCTGGCACAAAATCGAATTTGAATTCCGACCTCTCTAATCGCATTGCCTTGGTCGTTGCTCATATATATGGCGTCCCAATAGAGAGAGCGCAATACATTATCAATGTGGTGCTACAGTCGTATCGTGCTTGGCTTCTCAGACATATCAATATCTCGCTGTCATTCGCGTCGTCGGCGCTCAGAGTCGAGGCATTTCCTCGCTCCGAATTGACCCCCAGGATTCGATGAGAGCAACCGCTCCTCCGTAAATCATTGCCAACTAAAAATCCTCACTCGGCCCTTGGTAGCAACGACCAGGCTTCACCGGTCCAGGAAAATCCTACACGGATACCAGAAGACGCCTCGCAAAGGCAGTACTGCTACGCTATGAGAACTTGGATGATTTGGGTCAAGCACTGCGACAGAGCAGCTTGACCATCTGGAGGGTGGACAACTAGCGAGCTGGATGATAGGCAGGTAACGAAGCACCACCGAGAACCAGCTCTAATGATACGTTGCCAGCCAGCATGATATTTTTCACTCCATTGGAGGTCACTGGACTCAGGGTGAACCGACCGTATCTTAGCGCGAATTTGACGGGGGATCTTTGGTGTGCGACCGACCGAAATGATATTAAAGTAAAGCCAAAGCAATGTGAACAATGTACACCTGCCCTCTCCACTCCACCTTCAGATGAAATTACCTTTAGACCTTGTACCGTCTTCCAGTCTTGGTGAAGAACGTCTGAAGGACGTAGACTTGGAATCTATGTCAAAATTTGATCATGAGCACATATATACGTAGTCGCGCAATGCAGAAGGGCGAAAGAATCGGCATGCTTACACGGCCATGCCGATGACGGCAAGGGTCTCGATAATGGCGTACCAAAAGAGACGGCTGAGAAGGAGAACGCGTAAGTCAATATAAGCTTGTGATGAAGAGACTGTAAGGGACGCACTTTTGTGTAGATTTGACGATGGAAAACCCTCTATTCTCGCGCGTGTGGAAACTGCGCACCGCACCGGCGTCAGCACCAGCCCGCAGCAGCAACCGCGCGCCACTCACTATTTCTGTGTGCGCTTCACGTTCAGCAACATCCCGTTCAGCCTGAATATGCTCTCCTCGAGCGCGGACGTGTGCTCCGAGAGCTGGGCGGGTTTTGCGGGGGCGTCGCGGCGGGGCTCGCTCTCGACCATGATGTCAAAGTCGACGAGCTTCTCGGTGAGAGTGGACATGTCGTTCTCGAAGCAGAATGCATATTCGCCGACGGTGTTGGCGGTGAGGACATAGTCGCCCTGGCGCTCGCGCGCGCCGTCGAGGAGGACCTTCTCGTTCGGGTCTTTGACTTCAAAGTCGATATCGAAGGAGCCGCCGGATTGGACCTGACATGCTCCCCGTCAATATCGGCATATGGTTACATTATTTGGGAGTCGAGGCCAACGTACAGCGAAGTAGAACTAGCGAAGCGTGTGAGCAAGGTGAAGTGCCAGCGGGGACAGAGGGACGTACACCGATCTTCTCGCCTGCCTTGTCTACATCAGCATAAAAGCAGAGGCGTTCATTAGCGCCAAGTGAGGTTGTGAGAGCAGAAGCATTAGTGGACGAGACGAGGGCGAGGACGGCGAGGACGGCGAAGAGCAGCCAGTGCAGCAACGCTGAGGTCATGGCGCGGTGGTAGGAGGGCGTGGGAACATTCGGCGTCACAAGCGGCGAGAGTCCGCGCTCCAAGTAATCTCCTATCTGTGCAGCACGGCGCTGGCCAAATGTCTTCCTTGGAGGAGATGAACGGCATGCGACCCGTTCTACAGAGGATCACAGTGATCAGGCAGTCTAATTCCGTCGTTGAAAATTCCCGCGTCCGTCGTCTGCGCAGGGACGCCGTTGACACTTTCACTCAGACTCCCCCTATGATCCATCGCTTGATCATAAGCACTGTCGGTAGGCCATTGTGGGAATACTCGTCCGACGTTGAATTGCTCAAGGGTATGCGGGCGGCGCTTGAAGATTAGAACCATCTCAATAGGTGAGAGACTCCCACCCATCAGTTCTATCAATCAGGGCATCGATTCCTTTGTGAACAAGGTATCCTACATCGTCATATTAGCACGGATAATATCATGCTGGCAGTAAATCCCAATGCTCTCCTTGGATGTGCAGGCTTCATCGTGGATCTGAAATTTCCGTGGATGGAAAATGTGATCGGGCATTCAGAGGTGTCCAAGCCTGCCGCTCTTAAATTGGGGTCTACAGACACGGTAATGAGCGTTCCAACGTAGCGTGGAGCCTCCGTCAGGGTAAGCTCGTATCTGTCTTTCCGTTTCCGTTTCGCTTGGCTGACTCTACTTTTGCGTCAGGGAACGCTGCAGTTTATGGCTATATATATTCTGGATCGCCTCGAAGCCAGTATTTCACACAGTTGAACACGATATTGAATCTTTTATATGGTCAATGGTCTACGCCATCCAACGGAAGCTGCTCACAGTACAAGATGCTTCTTCAGACGAGAAGACATTCATCAGTGCGCTTTTCCGAGACTCATTTAGGATACTGGACATATACCATATTTGTCAATCTCGGGTGTGCCTCGTGCCCTTCGTTTTTCTTACTCGAAGCAGAAGTGTACTCTACTCCTCCGAGGCACCATGTCACGTGGTCTCTTTGACTTTATGTTCGCACTTAACAGGCCCATGAGAAGGATTTCGGACGCGGTCACTCAACCGAAGCTCGGGGTTACTCAATTCAGCTGTTTCAGCCCCGAACCAGAGTCTCGGGCAGAACCACTGACCCACTCAGGTATCGATGCCTTCTTGACAGAGGCTATCGAGCTTATTGAAGAGGGTTCCTACAATTGGATTTCCGGTGTCTGAGACAGTGGGAAACCTAGCTGGCAGCAGGCTGCAGCATGCAACTGTCTTTCATCAGATCCTTCGATGCTCATGGCGCCATTGATGGATCGATTGTCAAGCGTTAGATCTCAGATGCTACTTTCATCGAGGTGTACGTAGCTGTACGTCTGTTCTAGTCCTGTCTTGTCTTCAACTGACATGTGCTATTCAGGAGCGTCAAAATCTACGGCGCGAATTGTATACCTCTTACCAACGTGAAGGCTCAAAGGATTCAAACTCACACGCAAAGGACCCTGGTGCCATGTTGGAAGTCGCAGCTGACGGTCCACGCGGGAATGTCGATTGACGGTGTTTTAGGACTATCGGTTTTTGCCCTAAATGGGCTGCTGTGCTTCATCAGAAAAGCAATTCATTATCACATGAATGATAGAAGACTGTCCTCAAATCTCAGAAATACAACGTAGCCTGACACGGAACGGCAATCGGTAAATCTCTGTCATCGCATCGTGTTTTTTTTAGACACGGGCAGAAGGAAAGGTGCCACGACGCGCAGAAGCGGATGTCTGAACGCCTTCCCTCCGTTCCTAGATCGAGGATCATCGGATATCTCCAATTGTTCTAACAGGATCTCTCCTTCCGCCTTGTTTCAATGTTGAAAAGATATGTCAATTTATATGAGGCATATCTGTGATTGTTCTCGTGAGCTGGCCGGCTTTTGGATTGAACAGACTGTCACTGTCCATCAACGCTCGATAACAAATGCCACGTCGTAGCTCAAGAAGGAATGGCAGCAATCTTACACAGATCTCAAGATCGTACACCACTTCTCTCATCATCGGCTGATCTCTCCAGGACGGCATTCCAGTGGCATTCCTCACCGAATTCGATGTGAAGTGGCGTTGACTGGTTGTGAAGTGGCGTTAACCGGTTGAGCGCCGGAAGGGCCGTCAGTGGGCGCTCAGAACACTGCTGTAATTGATTCTTCCAAATTAGCGAAAGGGGCAACTGTGGAATTATTGAATCCTGGCAAGTTCCTGGCAGCGGTGGAAGATAACACCTCTTTCAGGCTGCGTGAAGCTTCCAAATCTGATGATTCAGTTTGGGTCTCTTCTGCTAGTGCAACCTTCTCTATTGGTCAACAACAGAGAGCATTCTTCCCTGCTCTTCTGCGCCAATTGTGCGCCCAACATACCGTACTTTCAAGAGATTAAATATAGAAATGTTGTTGTCTAGACGGGGCGTTGAACCGTGCAGCTGATGATCAGTGCTGATCGGTGCCGTTCTTGCGTCCTAGGCACAGGTACAACTCCCTCTTGTGCTCCCTTCGTGTTCTGTGCGGCTCGCCAAGCATTTATCATTCTCCAAAGGTCTTACAGAGGCCTTCCACTTTCGATAATACGCCACGCCACTAATAATCGAGCTTCAGAACATATAACTCACGAGCGTCTGAGAGCAATCCTTTTGATATAAAGCAGCGTTGCGAAATGATGTCTTTGGTACGAGTCTCGATTCGCTCTCACAATGGATCCTCCTGTAATCTCTCCTCACATCCAGAGCAGTGGAATTCAAAACTATTCTGGAAGCCAGGATCCGACATCGTCTGTCAGGCGGACCATCGAGAAGGAGCTTGAGGGAAAAGTCCTCTATGATCAGCAAATTGTTTTCGACACTCTTTTCATGGGCAAGGTCAACGATAAATTTGTCAATTCATGTCTATCCGCATTCAAACAGAGTGATCAAATGCAAGATGCTGTTCGAAGTCTCAAATCTCTGGAGGGTGAGCGCAAGGAAGGTGCCCGCCACACCGGCCAAAGGAAACGTGAAAGGGACATGTACCCTCATTTGGTATGTCCAAGAGGCATTGAGCGCTTGAGCTTTCCCGCTCATCGTCCAAAACATTCTCTAGGATCATATTTTCAAGTTTATCACAACGTTCGACCGAGCCTCGGCAACCATGACTCAGAATGCTCGCAAGTTTCATATCTCTCTGAGTCCGATTGCAGATGGCGGTCACACTTTTGGGTTTCCGAAGGGACAGCCCGATTTCATTATAGCAAATGCAGAGGCCGGTTATCCTATTTGGAGAGATGTATCTGCGTTCGTAGAGGTCAAGGCTACGAAGAAGCAGGGACCGAAGCCGATCAGAGCTAGAGATGGAACGATCCAAGAAATCGTTGTGCAAGCAGCGGATTATGCGCGCCTGTTCTTGTCCGCTCGCCCGTTCATGCTTTTTGCGGTGGCCCTCCTCATATCTGGATCTGAGTTCTGCGTTGGGATATTCGATCGTGGTGGTGTCAGGCTCTCTCCGGTGCTCGACATGTGGGAGAAATTGGTTACATTTATCAAAGTAATCCGATCCCTTTCTTGCGATCTAACAGAGGTAGAGCTTGGACTGGATCCGACAGTCTTTGAAGTCGATCACCAAACCGCTACTGATTTGTGGGTGGATACATCCTATCCAACCTATTTAGTTGGCCCTGTGGGAGACGATGCCGAACAACGAACCTGGTGCACAATTGATGTCCCTCGGTGGAGTTCTCTTTCGTTCACAGGCCGCGGAACCATGGTCTGGAAAGTTAGGGAGTACATCAAGGATAGGGATAACAACAAGAACAGATTGAATGGGCCAGAGATGATTCTGAAGAATTTCTGGCGTAGCAGCAAGCGCGACTCCGAATCCATAATCTATCAATCTGTGCAGGGCGAGCATCCCGGGTTGGCCAAATTCCTCGCTGGAGGAGATGTACGAGATCCGCGACCTGTCTTGCGACAGAAGACAGTGACCAACCCGCCTGATCATGTTGCCAAAGGTATTTTGGATGAGATCATCTCTGTTCGCCACCTCCGTGGAGACGCCCTTGACGCTTCGGCACCGACTCCCGTTCTTCACCGCTTACTACTAAGTACTGTCGGTAGGCCGTTGTGGCAATACTCGTCTGACATCGAATTGCTCAAGGGTATGCGGGCGGCACTGGAAGGTCAGAACTATATCAATGAGAGGGAAGAGACTTTCACTCATCGGCTCTATTAACCAGGGCATAGATTCCTTTGCGAACAGGGCATTCTACATCGTGATATCAGCGCGGGTAATATCTTGCTGGCAGCAGGTTCCAGTGCCCCCCCTGGGTGTGAAGGCTTCATCACGGACCTGGAATTTGCGTGGACGGAGACAGTGATTGGGCCTTCCAATCTGTCTCCCGAAACGGCATTAAGCGTTCCAGCGCAGCGTAGAGCTGCTATCACTGTGAGCTCGTATCTGTGATCACGTTTCCATCCCGCTGAATTAAGTTCGTTTCTTTCTCAGGGGACACTACAGTTCATGGCTATGCATCTGTTAAATTGCCTCAAACGTAAACAAAAAGATGCAGTTCACACCGTTGAACACGACCTAGAATCCTTTATATGGTCCATGGTATACGCCATCTTACGGAAGCTGCTCACCGTACAAGATGCTCCTTCACATGAGAAGACGTTACTCACGACTATGTTCCAAGACTCTTTTGGGAGACTGACCATAGATAAGATTCTTAAATCTCGGCGGGACCTCACACCCTTTGATTTTCTTTCGGATGACGTCCTGAACGAGGGAACGCTTCTTCGGCGCAACATGTCCCGTGGGCTGTTTGATTTCGTTCTTCAAGTTGGAACCTCTACGATGCGACGAAGATCGGACATGCTCAAGTATGGTAAACTCAACCCCACCCGGTTCCATAATGTTGATCCCCTAAATGTACGGGATGGGCCTCTCAGTCATACATGGATCAATTCTGCCTTGACGGAGGTCATTGAGGTTATCGAGGCGGGTTCCCAGAATTGGTATCCTGTTGTCTGAGACTCTGCGGTTGTGTAATATGCTTAAATGTACGGCGTGTACGATGTGACTATGAACCTGCAACTATATCGACAGCATCCAGTTCTTGTAAAATTGATCATGCACCTCTAAGCCGAACTCCAAAGGGCGCGGTTCTGGCACAGTCTTCTGCCTATCCTTATGCTTTTCCTCGTGATCACGCTCAATAGCACACATCTTGTCGAAGTGCTTGTGCCATTCAATGCTTGTATCACCAACGATTGTATCACTAACGCTTGTATCTTTGCGACAGCAGCTCAGAACGCCCCATTATTGCTGCGCCAGCTGTAAATTACCTTTGCGCCAAGGTTCCATCATTCCCGCAGCACGTCGTCCCAGAAGGCATCGTGAATATCCGTTCGAGTTTACTTACAACGCGGATTCCAGCGACGATGACCATAATCTGCCTGTTATTGAGCTCGCAGGCAGCCATCGGCGTTCTCATCCTCGCAACTAGAGTCACTGGCAAAAATATGCCGCGTTCCGTACTCCAACAGATGAGATATCTGTCATATATTATCAAAGCACAACTGGGAAACAGGTTTTGATGGTGCACCCTCTGAAGAGCCGATCTACTGGGACGCCTCGACGAGACGAGACTCGGCTTCCTTGAAGTTGATAACGTTCCAGATGGCATTGAGGTACTGTGTTGTTGGGGATCAAGTCAGTGGATAGACAAGAAACAAAGTGAGAAGACTCCTTACGTCGGGCTTGACGTTCTTGTACTTGATTCAGATAACAGAATGTGAGTGACATCCACAAAGATGAAAAGATGTTCAATACGATACCTGCAGGTAGAAAGCCTATACAATATCTCGTTAGTAGTGTTGCTACAGTCAACGGTCCATTCAACGTACGTGTTCCCAGATGTCAACGCCTATGATAGGCGTGTGCGCTGGGAACATGAGGAGTAAGCAGCAGATCAATCGATAACATCTGACCAGCGCGCACAGATTAGCGGGTCCTGGTTGGCAGTAGTCACGATCTCGAGCTTCTTCGTGGTCGGGTTGAGTCCCTGCGCACCAAAGCGCGTCAATATCTGTTGTTGATAACAAAGAGTTCAATGAAAGGACGCACGAGCCAGCCCCAGCCGCTGCCTTGGATAGCGGCTGTGGAAGTATTGAACTTCTTCTTAAACTCGTCGACGGACCCGAAATCGCGCTCGAGGGCGGACTTCAGAGGGCCGTCGGCGAGCTTTCCACCGCCCTCTGAGGCCGGGGCGAGATTCTTCCAGAAGAGGGAGTGGTTGATATGACCTGTAGAAACAACGCGCATCCAGCGCGATAGCAGCAAGAATGACACGCAAATTGCGTCAGATAACGCGTACATGCATGGTGTCGGTACGAGGGGGTGAGGGAGAGCATGGACGCACCACCGCCGTTGAACTTAAGCGCAGACTGGAGAGCGATGCGCTGCTTGGTGTCATGCGTTTTGGAGTAGGCCTCTTCAGCAGCATTGAGACCGTTGACGTAGGTCTGGTGATGCTTTGTGTGGTGTAGCGTCATGATCTGCTCAGAGATATGAGGTTCAAGAGCCTATTTTTGTCGAAATTTACGCCGCCATAAGGTGCAAGAGTCATCGTCAATACACAACACAGAAAAAGTCAGGATGAGATACGTCTTGGAACTGTTTGAAAAGCATACGCACATTGTAGGCGTAAGGGAGTTGCGGCAGGGTGTGCAGCGATGCAGCACCAGCAGGGGCCGCGAAGGTGCGCGCGAGAGCAGGGCGAGCGATGGTGCGAGCGATGGCAAACATGATGGTGGTGGAGACGATGATTGACGAGGTGACTGAGAGTGACTTCGGCTTGGGACGGACCAAGGCGACGTCATCGTACACACATTACACCCACGTGGTTTCTCAGCCTTTTGCGTCCGCATCGATGCTTTTTGTAGTAAAGCTGCTAAATTGGACCTATATCTAATGTATTTTTTTTCCGCGCGTTCGGCTTTTTGTGCGAAGCCACCCTCTACTTTAGCTGTACATAAGTGACCCACTTCCCCGGACTTGTCGCTTTGAGATGCTTATTCCTCGTGGACCTCAAAGGTTTGCAGTTTTGTTACAGCTCTCGACGATGGCATGACCTCTGCACGTTTCAACTTGGCTGTCTCGGTTCAAATGCTTTGATGTTTTCGGCTGCGCTCCTCGGTTTCATGTCTGTGGACAATCGTCTGATCGAAGGTATAGATCGCTTTCGAGACCACCGCAATGTGCCACATAGAGGAGCTTCGTTCACTTTATATCAGTCAATACTCAAATGACTCGTGGTCGAGTTCAGCAGCGCGCGGCTCTACTCAGTCAATGAGGTTGTTGCGTCTTCGACGCTCTGGCTTGGAGTATGCGAGCTACACTGTCCTATCACTTCCTCTGCTTATTTCCGACCAGGTCCTGGAATATTTACGTCAACGACTCCAATCATCATATTCGACTTGCGTTGCAACGCAATCATGGATCTTGAGCAGGTTGAACGCTATGGATCTGCACATCTAAGAGGAATTGGGAAGAGTAACGATACTTGGTGTTCTGACACACGTTTTAATTTCAATATGGAACTACTTTTGACTCTCGTCGACTCAGTTTTCAATGCCAGGTGCGCGCGAGACCTCTTTTTCAAAGGTCTCATACTCGTGCAAATGGCCTGTCAAGCTCTGTGCTCCATCAGTGTGTCTATTGTACGTGGTCCCGTCAGCTCGATTCGATCTTTGACAGCGCTTTACCCTCAGACCACTCCAGGCTATTCGATAATCCGACGCAATTCCGTACTGTGAACTTCGACATTCCATACATGCAGTCGAGACGCATCACAAGAGCCGTTGTTCATCACGGGAACAAGTTTGTATGGCCACGTCTGCCAGTTTTGGCGCTTGGTACCCCTGGCACACAGTCTGCGGGCAAACACGACCCACCTCACTGGTAGCGATAGTAGTGCGCTCGAATAGCGGTCCGGCTGTTCTTGCCAGGTCAGGATGCGTCCAGGCCCGCGTGTCTGATGGATTAGACATGTCATTCTCCTTCGCTTGTGCCGCTTCCCCTTGCTTCTCCCTACATCTACACGGCTCCCAGAACCGCAAATACTCGTTCTCTGTTCTTGTGGGCACTAGCACATCACCGCGGCAATTTCAGTAGTTCCAGAGCAGTCAGTGACATTCACATGTTCTGGGCTACTACGTATTGCGAATTGTTCATTCCCGCGGAGAGCTAGGGAGAGCTCTGAGCCTCAGGCGTGTCTCGTCTCGTCGTTGCCTCTCCTCGAACACCGTTTGTCAATATAGCACTGTCAAAGGAGTTCTCTTGCCGATAACTGACTTATAATGTGAATTATTTTTATTTTCGGAGAGACGTAAGATACGGAACGTGTTTGGTCATCGACAAAACCAGTCTCCCGGATGTGTCCGAGTCCTTTCCGATCCCCCATCTTCTGAACTTCAAGGTCGACGGAAAGAAATCACAGACTTTGGGACGATCTTTTGTCTCGTCGCTGTAAGTCATATCGAGGATAGTAGAACTGCGTCTGTTCACGACTTGGTTCTGAGAAGCAATCAGTTTTCCCGCGCACCCTTCGTGCAATCCTCCCAGATCGCGATCCTGACTTTCTCGTGCTTTTGAGCATACGTTTACCCTTTCTCTGAAGTCCCCGAAGGCCGACACCAGGTGGCTATCCACGATCAACAACGAACCGATAAGCCGCTGTTGAAGAGCATTGTCTGCATCTGATGGGCGTCTTCAACCCGAAAATGCTGGATGCCAGCATCCGCGATGTCGTTTCATCGCTGTCGAATGATCGAAAAACAGACGTGCTCCTATATGCACTGCAACACTTGCCCGCAGGGCCAAGGTCTGTATATCTATACAAATTGCCAAGCGTCAATCTTGGATCTAGACGGCCTTCTAACGGACGTCGCCTGATTGCAGCTCTAGAACCATCGTCGAGAACGCAGTCCAGTCGTGCCTTCACATTCCGTCTGTATACCCGCAAAAGGTCATCCAGGCGAGGCTCTTGCGCGCGAAATCTAGATTTTCAGCTGGCCTGCGGGGCGCTGCTCATCAAGGTCCGATATGAAGCTGCTCTGCTCGCTTCCGCCTTTTAAAGCCCTCCGTCGCAAGGCCACTAACCACCCCTCTATGCCGTAGACTTGCAAGCGATCCTTCTCATGGACCCGACCCACGCCGAGGCGCGAGCACTCATGCCGCAGGCTGGTAGTACGCGGTCAGAGGTGCGTGGCGTGTTCCGTTGATGTCGCTCTATTTTTTGATGCTCCTCTGTCCGCTTGTAGAAGTCCCTCTCATTGCCCCACGGCCAACCCCGTTTCTCGCCAGAGCTATGGCGGGAGATTGCATCATACCTCCCGCGCAAAGACCTCAGGACCTTGCTGTTCGTTCCACATGCCCTCTCCACCATTGCCAGCGAGCTCTTGTTCCGCGACCTCCATCTTCAGTTCGGAACATCCCACTTCTATGCAGTGAACAAGAGCGATGAATATAGCTCGGATATCGATATATGGCACGCGCAACGCAGCGCTGATATCCTTGCTCGTCTTGTTTCTGACCAGAAATATGCGAGTATGGTTCGCGTCTTGCACATATCGGCTCCACACCAGTCCACAAACATCTTGACGACGTTCCAGATAGGCAGGTATCTTCACCCGTGATGACTGACCACGAACTGATGAGTTTCCGTAGGAATACTAGCCAATGTATTCCCAAAGCTCATCAACCTGAAATCGTTTGGTTGTATCATGGGCAATGAAGCCATGTCGTCTGTGCTCCGAATCTTGGAAAAGACGCACCCGAGACTACCAGAGATCAATCTCAAGTTCGTCTCCATTCCTGTCTTCTCTCTCCTTTCTTATTCTGTGCACCAGGTCCACGAGCGACGAGCCCCCTGTTCTTCCTCGGCTTTCCAACTTTAACTCCTTTGCATACACCACGAGACGTTTCCCTCAGGGGTTTATCACGTCTCTTCCTGACCTCTTCATCACTCTTCGCTCGCTCAATCTCGAGATCCAAGACGGGGTGATTCCTGCCGGGATCATCGCGGCAAGCAACCTCACGACTCTTGATCTCGCCGGGTCCTTTGAGGATACGGCCGTTTTTAGCGAGATTCTCATGCATGGAAATCGCCTCGAGGTTCTTCGACTCCGAGGAAAACTTGGACGAACATGCACACCGTCGATTGCCTTCCGTGGTCGAACGGCTCCACTCCCATGCTTACGCGAGTTTGTCTTCTCGCTGACGTCAGTATCGCGGGACTTCGAAGACAGTGACCTCTTTGGCGCGATCACCGACTTCGTGCGCAAGCACCCGGCTCTCAAAGCCTTAAAATTATTGATATATCCTGATGTACATCATGTGGGATACGATGCATCGGTGTGGGGAGTCTTGCCTACTCTCACGGAGCTTCGCCTGTTGCACATCGTTATTCCTCAAGACCTCTCCCCTGCCCTTTCGACCTGGCTTATCCCGCGCACGGTCAAGTATCTCTCGTTATCGACGTCCAGCATCCGAAATATTGGCAGCATGGTGGTCAGTGGTCGCCCCTCCTCTGAGCTGATCGTACCTGACCTCGCTGGACATAGTCATTGTGGCCAGGTCTGCCGAAAGGCATCAAGTATCTAGCCTTGTCTTCGTCCTCCCCAGCAGACACCGCAGACGTCCTTCATGACAGCCCGCTGCCAGATCTTCGTCTCCTCAAATTGTCCTCAAAATTGTACACAGTTGTGCGGGCTGGAAACGATGTTATACTCGAGGAGTGGCCTCGAAGGAGGATGGTGTTCTATCTGGGGGACTGGCTGGAGAGGTTAGAATGTGATGATCTACCGTTGTCTTCTTTTTGAAGATATACTTCATCACTGGTGCGCCTCCTCCCCCTCTGACTCTTGCGCGCCTGTAGCTGATAGATCATCATTAGTTTACTGTATTCTTGGTCTGCTGACTGCTAACGATGTGTACTAGTATGCTGGGTATCCTGAGGACTAATTATGTTTCTGTCAAATACTAAAACAAAAATAGGCACACAGTTGCACTTTCATTACGTTCATTCCCAATACACGAACTCTTTTTTTGTACCTCATCCTACCTCATTTTTGTTCCTTCATCAATGACCAGCTGAAGGTAACACCACGATGGATCAGCGGGCCAAAAACCATACGAATTATGCGAGATTCTTAAGCAAGATTGTACTTAAGGCCCAGCCTTTTTGTAACTTTAGGTCTACCGCGACCGAGATGCTCAAAGAAGGCAATCAAACCAAATCTGCGCAGGAAGAATCGCCGCTGGGACATAGAGCGCCAGGTGCCGAGCATGGGGCGATGCAACTCCATCGCAAAGAGGGCGACGCACATATAGGAAACCAAGTTTGCGTATGCTTTTAGAACATTGGTTCAGAGAGGTAGAAAGCAGGCTTTATCATTAAGCGATGAACAAGGTCTAGACACAAGATTCTTGCGTCAGGTCTATCTATAGCAGGTACACAGGAGTACGTCAGAATAGTTGATAGAGTGACAAATGGGGAAAACTTACTGGACGAAGCTATGCTAATAGTGCAGACAACGGCACTCATCGGAGCTTGCTGAAGAGTTTTGGTGCAAGACAGTTCTGTCAACGACGGGTCAGAAGGATACTATGATCTAGGCGAGAATTAGACAAACGTCGGTACAGTGCATCATGCTATTCAAGATTGATGTCAGTAGCATATCAACACGTAATGATATGAAGGTACTCACTGGACTGTTGAGCGAGTGTGACGTTGCGCACCCCGACCTGTCAGGCTACGGCGGGAATATGTGGAAAACAAAGCACGTACACCTATCCAAAGAGAATGAGCGATTGCACATAATAAAATAGACTAGGTGTACTCACATCTCCTCAACACAGTCCTCATGCGGGAAACCTTCGCCAGCTTGCACCTTCTCCTGGCAATGGAGGAAGTGCTGCGTCAACGGCTTGCACTTGGCTGATTCTTGGCATTCTTCGCGAAGGTGTGGGTGGATCTTTGATACACCCAGCAACATTTTAAGCCCTCGAAAGGTGCGGAAAAAGAAAGGCAATGCTCACGTCCTCAGGTTCCTCCTCCTCTGCCTCTGCCTCTTCAACCTTCTGTTCCTCTCCCTCCTGCTGAGACTCCGGTTTTGCCTCAGGTGCGTCTGCGTGGGCTATGCCAATGAACGACGAGAAGAACGACGAGAGAGACATCTGCGTGAAATTGCACAACGTTGAACGTCAAGTCAGGAATACCGCCCGCTCCTCGCCAGTTGTCGGGATGTCCCTAGCCATTAAGGCTCCGACCCGGCTATTGCCGAGATGTACTCAAGGTCCCGGCATCAGGAAAGTATGGAAGGCGAATAAAAAACCCCATCCAGACTAGTGCAACCACTGATGATACAACTACACGTGCAAGTATGATAAACCGGCACTCATGAGGCCAGGTTCCTCGCAATCAAGCCATTCGTACCAATCCTGGGAATAAAACCTCGATCGGCGCGCAGGCCAACTCTCCCCCTCGACCATATTGATCTCGTCCCTCAGTACTGTATGGTACGATCCCTGCAAACGAAGCAGTCTAAGATCTTGAAGTTTGTCTAGCAGTGAATTCTGCATTTCCTGTGTCAACTGGGTAGTCAAGGATAAGAATTTGATCTTCGGCGGAAGACCCGGCCAAGCCTGCTGGTGCACAACGCCGGACGGTTAATTTGTGAAAAAAAAAAGCTCAAAACGATGCGGCTCACTGCTATCAGGGAAGTGTCTTGATTAGGAGGAGTAGTCATGTGCAACGAAGTCACCGTGCGCGGAATGAGCCAGGTCGATAACGTGAGAGCGAGATCGTTCGGGATGTATATCGATAGCGACTGCAGTTGTCCTAGAGTAGGTAGAACCCCCCAAATTGATGCATCGTAGTTGACGCGATCGACTTCATGAGACTTGAGTATGCCCAGTCCACGTAAGAAGGGATGTTGTCGCACGAAATTGGCGACAGAAGGGAATAAGTCTGGATCGTTGAATTCACGAGGGACTGACAAGATGTTCAGAACGAAGCTACGCAACGCCTGGAGTGGTGCGACATTTCGGAATGCTTTCGATGGTACACATCGGCCCCCTAGTCGGCATTGAATGCGGAGGATCTCCAGATAGTGCCCGTTCGTCAGAAGCTCCGTGAAGAAGCTCGTATCTTCAATAATGGCTGTCACATCAACAGTGGTGAGGTTGTTCACCGAGATGAGGCCGGCCGGAGCGACGCAGGAGACATGGATCGAAATCTTGCGGAGAGTAACGACCAAGTCCGATGCATAGCCCTTTAGCGCAGGCGCAAGGTCGCTACTAATATAGGTGAAGCTGGTTAGTTGAGGAAGTTGAGGAAGAGGAGGCGATTGATCGGTAGTACAACTGCATGAGCATACTCAGGTTAGACGTAGCCAATGGAGGGAGGCGAGTGGGAATCGCACACTAGGCGCAAGTCTCGCAAGTTTGGATGTGTCTTTTCGAGAGTCGAGAGGACCGATGCCATCGTCTGGGTTCCCATAGAACAACTGAATGTCTTCAGGTTTGTGAGTTTTGGAAGCGCGTTTGCCAACATTCCTTATCGACTAGGTCAGTGAGTAGTAATCAAGAATATTTATCAAGCAATACCTATTTGAAAGGTCGTTAGCACACTCTCTTCCCTTTGTGGCGCAGATACAACCAAAGTCCTGACCAGGCATGCGTAATTTGGATCAGATACGATCCGCGTCAATATATCCGCGCTACGTTGATCATGCCATTTATCTATCGCTGAGCCGTCGCTCAGCCCGTCGTTCGAAGCATAGAACCGTCCGGTCCCAAATTGCAAATGCAACTTCCTGAACAGCAATTGGCTGGCAACGCTGGAAAGGGCGTGGGGAACGAACAGGAGGTTCTTCAGGTCTTTTCGAGGAAGGTACGTCGCGATCTCCCGCCAAAGCTCAGGAGAGAATCGTGGCTGGCCATTGACGTTGCCAGTGAGCTACGAATCAATCACCGTAGCGAATTAGCCGTCGCCATGGTGCGCAGATGCGCGCGAGCGTACCTCTCCCGCCGCTGACATGGCACCAGCTTGCGGCATGAGAGCTCTCGCCTCGCTATGATTAGGATCAATGAGAAGAATTGCTTGTAAATCTGTCGCGAAGAACGGATGAGCCGTGCCTCGGTATTTGGGGAGTATAGACGGATGGGAGTCGGTGGGAGTCAAGAGTCTTACCCTGATGAGCCGCGCCGCGTAATCCGGTCGCAAACCTGGCTTTCGCTCGGAGGAGCCGAGCCTGAATCACCTTCCGTGGATACACGGAAGAGATCTGGAGGCAGGACTGGACTGCATTCTCGATGATGGTTCTAGAGCTACGCCCAGGCGATTCTGGTCAGGGCTAGAATGGTGGAAGATGCTGACAAAGCACACGAACAAACCTTGGGTTGGATGGGAGGAGTGCCATTGCGTAGAGGAGGACGTCCGTCTTCTGGTCATTCGAGAGCGATGAAACAACGTCACGGATGCTAGCGTCCAGCATTTTAGGGTTGAATACGCCCATTCTGTTGATGCAAACGAGAGAAGAAGCCGCCTGCAGTCAAATACAACTGTAACGAATAGTGTGAACGTTGGGGTTCAGACGGAGGCGGTCGGAAGATAAGCTGCGCCCGACCGCAACACTATAAATCGTTCTATGTCAAGGCATTACCTGTTAATTCGCGGATTCTGACTACCCCAAAGATGTTTTTAGTGTTACTCACGATCTTCTGAAAGCTCCGGGCTTCAAGTTTCAATAGCTTGAAGTACTGAGTTTAAGCGCTGTTGTAGGGTGGTGTGAGAGCGAAATAACTGCGTAGAACGTACTCGAGCTCGGAGAAGGCTCGAGGTCAGCCTGGACAAAATCTAGGGTGTGATGACTCAGCAATTTCGCCCTTATTTTAAGTCTGCACGCTTGATCTGTTCCATAACATAGCATATGTTGAGTACTCCGAGTTCTGATTCTGCTTGAGAGCGACAGAAGGCTCTAATCATACTGCAACACATTTGGTGAGGTTTTGCATGATGCTGATCTCATGAACCTGTGAGGATTCGTACTCAGAAAAACATGAGTTCAGGAAGAATCAAACCAAGCCAGTACCAAGCCTGCTGTCCGCCGATTTAGCAGAGCAGATGGCATGCTGTAGCATGGTTCTAGCGTACAACTTACATAAACGGGCGTTGGGGACAAAACGTTGTGAGGAAAGACAGACGAAAATCCTGAACGCATGTTTCCCACGCTGTCTTGCTCGCAGAAGCTACATCATTGTCAGGAGCGATCGACAACAGAGACCATCTTCGCCAGACAATTCCAGAGCATTTATTCAAGGCATGATGCTCCCATGTAACATGGAGTGGAGAAAGACATACTCATTATTATACACATGTCAATTCCCTACTGAACGGTCACTGCATCATCTTCGGGTCCACCTTTCTGCCCTCGTAGAACGCGACGCGATCCCAAAGTCCCAACTCATCGCCTTCATTTGCAAACCCCATCCTTTGCTCTGTGAGACCTGCAACGCGCAGGAACAAAGTTCCATCCAGCCTCTCCGCCCCGACCAACCCACCATGCGCTGAAGAGAAGTATTCAGCCGGCCTTGACCCATACTTACCCGCCCAGTATGCTAGAGAACGCTGTAGCTTGCATAGATGCATGTCTGGATGAACGATAGAATTCTGCAGAATCCTCAGCCATGGATTTCCTCCGGACTTGAGAACCTCGCCCGGCCAGAACGCTGGTGTGCGCTCCTCCAGCGGCACTGTGCTTTTGCGCTGCGGAGGAAGCGGCGCAGAAAGATAAGATGAAGTCGCATCGAAAAATTCGCCGATAGGGAGGGAAGAGCGACCGCGGGAAATATACCAAGCAGTATTCACCGACAGATAGGTGCGGAGTAGGAGAAGTCGGTTGGCGAGGGAGAGCGGCGGCGAAAGCATCGAAGAAGTTCCGGGGATGATGAAGAGGGGGAGGAACAGGGTGGAAGTAGCGAAGTGCGCACTGATAAACACCGTCAGCTCAAAGTCGAGCATTACAGAAAGAAACGCACGCAAAGAAGTCTGCGTTGAACTCTTTGCCTGCACCACCATTCCCACGCCAGGCCCAGCCAGAAATACCAAACCACATTACGTTTCCGAAGACGACTTCTTCCATCATGATCTCCAACCGACGTTCAATTTCTGCCTCGCTATCAGCGCCTCTTAACCAACCCTCATACCATTCAGTAACGAGCTGGTGAATACGGTCTCCGACCTTCTCGAGGACCGGCTCAAACTTATACATGACGTCGGGCGAAACTGCAGCCCCGGGAGCGAAGGCGGGCTCTTCAAGCACGCGCTGATGGAACGTGAACGTTGGTCTGAGAGGAGCTGTGGGGGATGAAGATGAGAGAGCGAGGGAAGCAAAGTTTTTCAAGATCGAATTGGCGGCGTCCTGATTGAATAACGCAGGAGGGAAAAGGCGCGTCTGATGATCGGGATGTGTTGCGGTTTGGGCGAGGCCTTCAACAAGACGGAGTCAATGATTCTGAGTAGTCGTCATCACAAAGCGCGGACCAACCTTCTGCGAGCTGTCCTAAAATTCCAAACTCCAGACCGCAGGCAGAATGAATCATGGGGTGTAGGAGACCGGACTCAAACCTCTCTAACATTGCAGGTTGCTTCTTCCCCGCATCGAGATTGGGAATATAATTGAATTCGGGAGAAAAAATGAAGCGATCTATCGTTTCCACAGGAGTGTGGTCGAGGACATATGCCGAGAAAAATTTGAGGTAAGAGTCATAGTAGCTGAGAGGAGATAAAATTAACGAATATTCAGGTCAAGAATCCACAGCCTAAGAGGGATTTTGCGTCGTTTGACTCACTTGAGGTCTCCGATGTGCTCGATGAAGTTCTCCTCTGTGATTGGACTAGGGCTTGCGAAAGCAGGTTTCTGATACATATGAGTCTCATTTGCAGCCTCGATGAGTGGTGCCGATGCACCGAGGCCGTAGATAGTGATAAGATGATGGGTGAGGTGACTATAGAAAGACACAAAACCAGTCAGCGATCCACTCAAGCAGCAGGGAAATATGCTCAAACTCCCGTACTTGTGAAATCCGCGCGAGTCGAAATGAGGATGCCATTTTACATGGTTATCTCTGAGCTTTTCCAAGAGCTTCTTCGCACTCTCGTCAGTGCTACCACTCAGGGAGAATGTCCCCTTAAGAAGTGGGAGAGTATATAGTTTGTCGAGAATAGAGTCAGTGGAAGACATTGCGCTGTAGGTTACTGTGAGTGCTTCGAAGGGTGAGAACAAAGGGGGCATGGACTCATGCTTATAAGGGCACGCGCCTGTCATCATGATGATTCGCATGAACCGATGCAAAAGTGATCCGCAGTGACGGGTGCTTCCTGGCTACTGAGACTCACGAAGTTGAGTGGTGTGAACCACGGCGGACTGTCAATTAGGACCTAATCGCATCAGCAGCTTCCATTTGAATCGTACTTACCTTCTAGATGTGGATTCTTCTTCCAACATGAAGGCACATGACCGCACAATGTGTGCATCCCAGGCATCCCAGGCCAGGCCAGGCGGCTGCATAAGAAGACCTTTCTCATGTGGGTCGGGGCATCAAGTCATGTCCTGTACGAGATTGAATAGAAGGACAGTCAGCATTCCTAAAGGCTCTCATCAGCATACTTCAGTGAGCCGTCTTTTGATTGATCCTACTCAGTTGGGGTTCCGACGGTGGGGTTGTGATCGTGATCTGCGAAAGACATTGCTCAACAACGTATGGATGACTGACCTCTTGGGAATCGATGACATGTAAGAGAAACATAAGCACTATGGTAGTCCATGATATCACATACCGCAATTAGAAGTGTTCGCATCCTTGAATTGGGCGTGCTGAGAACCATAGTTGGTAATAATGTCCACACCCCAAATCATCGGAAAGGATCAAAGTTCGCCTGAGCTGAAATAGGTGCATAAGACGTACGAACACACACGGGAAGGGCTGTGTACAAACAACAGTGATAGAAGCTCGCTTTGACTGACGAGCAGCGCCGAGATCAGAGCCCTTAGTATCGTTTCATGGGGGACCTTTTCAAGTGTGCGGATGTGTTAATGCAAAGTAGGCTGATTGTTGTTTGATTGTGTCAAACGACCACGAAGACTCTATGAATGAGATTCAAGGAGAGTGTATATCGTATCCATTGGAACGACAGCAAGTTCTCGTGGCATATAGTAGGCCGTTGCTTCTTCAAGGCATTGCATCTGTCTTGCTTGTGTGAAGCCGGACCAGGTCGCATGCGGTATTATGTTTCTTCAGACAGGTGGCGCAGTCAGCATGACTCATGAAAACGCGCGGCAGCCAAACCTCTAGATGATACATTTGTACAGTCTAATTGTTCCCGAATCAAGCAGTCTGACTGACCAGACGTACCACGAAGAGAACCGGTGTTCCAAGTATGCATGGCATACGGCACCTACAATCATGCACGTAAAATTTGATCTCTGTTTCCAGATCGTGACCAGGCTCCTACCCACCACCGTGTCGAGGGCAAGGGTCTATTACTATGAGAAAATAACGAAAAACATATGAGAAAACAGATGACAAATAAATGACATAATGAAGCAATATTTTGAACCTTAATTCTCAAGCAATCCCAAGCCCTCTCCATCAGTGGCTGGCACAAAACATATACAAACATGCACCACCTGGAAGATTCACTGGCGTCAGCCACAGAAGACTGGCTGCGTGCGAGATTTAGATCATTAGTAATGCGAGTGCGTGACATCATGAAATTTACTGAGTTACACTTGGGGCTCTGAACCAAAGATTTGAAGGTTGAATAATGATATACAATGCAATGGCTCTACAAAGTCACTACAGGCCCCAAATGTCGAAGTGAATGCCAGAGCAAAAGGCAATAATCACTGGTTATATAGCACTGGTAAGGACATAAATAAATTGATGTGTTAGTGTAGTGGTTATGCTGCCATGATAAAATTTTACCCACTCACAAGGTCGCAAGTTCGAACCTGGTGTGATTTCTCTTTTGATTGGGTATGCTCCCTTCTTATATGATTCATCGAAAGCCTCAGTGCTCCTATTCTTATGAGACAGAATTAATAGTTTAAATAAAACATATATAATCACGCTAGGTTTGAACTTGCAACCTCATGAGTGGGTAAAATTTTATCGTGGCAGCATAACCACTATACTAACACATCAATTTATTTATGTCCTTACCAGTGCTATATAACCAGTGATTATTGCCTTTTGCTCTGGCATTCACTTCGACATTTGGGGCCTGTAGTGACTTTGTAGAGCCATTGCATTGTATATCATTATTCAACCTTCAAATCTTTGGTTCAGAGCCCCAAGTGCAACTCAGTAAATTTCATGATGTCACACACTCGCATTACTAATGATCTAAATCTTGCATGCAGCCAGTCTTCTGTGGCTGACGCCAGTGAATCTTCCAGGTGGTGCATGTTTGTATATGTTTTGTGCCAGCCACTGATGGAGAGGGCTTGGGATTGCTTGAGAATTAAGGTTCAAAATATTGCTTCATTATGTCATTTATTTGTCATCTGTTTTCTCATATGTTTTTTGTTATTTTCTCATAGGTAATAAACCCTTGCCTTTGACACAGTGGTGAGTAGGAGCCTGGATCATGACAATCTTTCTAGCCTGTTCAAAATAACCATATAGCAACCAAACCCATATACGTGCTCCATAATTTACCTCTGCACTACATTGAGTTGAACTCATGGCATATTGACAGCATTGTGAAAAGGTTGTCTCGCGGCAGAGAATACTTGCTATCCTAAGATATACTGTCTCTTTACTATACCTTGTATGCAACAATGTGTTTTAGCCATGCCACGTGCAACTCCAGCTTACCACATTAGGACTATGTGGCCTCCATATGGATGAGAGGTCATATCCAGCTGATTGTTGAAATTGTACCAGGCTGGTTCCAGATTGTCTGGTAGCCAGGCATTGGGTCTATGTATAATGTACCTGGTTCACCATCTGGCTATGACTTGAAGGCTTTTAAATTATAATCATCAATTTCACTTATTAAATCATATTAAATTTGTGAGCTCATGCAAAACATAACCACTTTCTGCTGCTTCATCGGACATACTCATTGATGCTGTCAGGATATGGATATCCTTGTGAAAAATTATAGATTGTAATAAAATGATTCAGTACACTATGCTTGGCCTTGTAATATCAATTGGCATGATGGTGTTGCTATTTTTATGACTGCATTCTACTCTCACCACTCATTGCTGCTATAGCATCTTCTGTTATGGCCTGCCAGAGATCTAGTATTGTCTTCTCAAGAATCTCCATTGTTGTTTGAGGTCATCTAAATTTCTGGTAGTCCCCACTTGAAGGCTATAGACATTTGTCTGGCTCAAAGTCATTTCATCATGGTTATATAATCAAATGTTTAAAAGACCATACCTATAAATTGCCTGCTTTTCAGCCTTCATATTGTTAGGATACTTCTTGAGCATATCTTTATAGATCCTTTTAAGTCTGGCATCCACACGATCCTAATAGGCTTGATCATTGTCTCTGATGAACAGACCCCACTATTATGCACACCAAATTGTTAGATACCACAAGAGATGGTCAAATAGGCAAGTAAATGACTGATTAGGTAAGCATATTGGCACTAGTGACTAGCTCTTCCTCTAGGGACCTCAATCTCTTCCAAACTACATCAAGCTCTTCCAGGATGTCTGCCAATGATTGCTTCTTGCAGGTGCATCTAGAAAAACCTCCTCTCTTAATTAGATCTAATTATTCAAAATACCAATCTAAGCTAATTAGAATATATTATCTATAATCAACTTTATGACCAAATTTGCAATTAAGAGGACATTGTCTATATTATTACAGTTCTATTGAAATCTATAGCCTAATTGTAATTTTATACATCCCAAATCCAAATTATATGAGTGCTACAATTTTATTTTTACTATATTCTTAAGCCCTGGTCTTTAGGGTATTTATTGACTTTTTTATATATAGAATAGATAAAAGATAAATGTGTAAGAAAATTAGAAATATTGAGATTGCCTTATTTATATCAACATATTTAGGTTACCAAGTAAATAGTTTAGACCTTGTGGCTTAGTAGTTTAGAGCACTAGTCTAGGGTATGTAGGCATAAGGTTGTTGGTTTAATTCTAGTGATAGGCAAGTTTATAATAAGTTATGACTTTAGCTTGATTAGTAAGCTCTATAGATACTCTATGATTGGAGATGTAGTAGTAGTAGAAAAAGCATAGAACTGGGCTGGTTGATATTTTTCCAAAAATCCATATAATAAATTAGCTTTAATTAGCTTTAATTAGATCTTATAATTTCAGGATTAGAGAAGGAGTAAGCTGAAAATCCTTGATGGTAATTGGTAAAAATATAGTTATATTTATGCTTAACTATAGTTAATTTAATATGGAGCTTTTCTCTGATGTAAGATGTGTATGTGACTCTAGTAATAGGGAGGTATGATGCTTGGCCACAAAATTGTTATGAAGTGGCATAGGCCCTTGTAGTAGAGTATGTAGTGTCATAGCTATAGACTACAGTGATGATCCTAAGGGACCTGCCTAATGAGTGAAGCTAGATAATCATAGGTCCTTAAATAGACCATAACAAAAGGGATGGAAATACAGAGATAATATGAAGAAACAGGCATCTTGGGAGTCACTTATCTGACTATCCAAAGGCCCCCCATTTTATAAAATCTAAATAGTACACACAGATGTCAGTATTAAAATTTGACTTATAGAAACAAACCCAACTCCAATATTATTTTCCTAGCTTGCTGAGCCATCTTGCAAAAGGAACCCATGTTGCTGCTTGAAATGATAATAGTGTGAAAGTAGGGAGTTTCTTAAAGGAATTTGTTTGAATATAATCATGGCATTATTCAGATGTTATAGAATTACAAAAGATGGCAGAGATGGGGGCAATGAGAGACTATTTGAGAACTATCCTATGAATTATCTTTGCTAGCAACATCTCTATCCACTACTGGGCACTTTTCCCCATGCTGCAACCTCTATACTCTCCTACTCATATAATAAGGTTCCAATTATACCTATTCAAGAAAACAAAACCCTTGGGCAATGTGTCATCAAGTTATAGATGTCTGCTGTCTGGGTCGGTATGCTTGGCATCAGATATAAGAGGTTGTCTGATCTAAAAAGTGACACACTACTGGTATACTTAAGGTGTCTATAAGTGCTGAGCACAATACCAAAACAACCTCTAGAGCAGAGAGTGCTAGAGCTAGTATCTGATACACAAGGAATTATTAGTGATAACTTTAGAAATTAAAGGTATACTAAGAAGCAATAGGGAATGCAAGATTGTAGCACCTAAATAGTTTCAGAACCGTTGATGAGCGCGCCACCCCTCTAAGCGCCGGGACCCCGTTTTTCGCAGTTCTACGAGCACAAGCAGGCTGACCTCAGGAGATACCCCAGAGACCGCCGGGTGGCCCCGCCGCCCAGAGCGATCCCTCCGATGCCCACTACGACCTCAGCATTACGGTATCGGGCCAACG